CCGAATGTTTTTGTCAAAATCACAAACCGTCCAAGAGAATCAGAGCAAAGGGGTGAAAGTAGCAACGGAGCGTGAAATTGATCATTTGTATCACGATGAGATTTATTCATTGTGTCCATGGCTAAAAATCGAAAATTTTACCATGTTGGGGTTGAAAGAGTTGGGTAAAAATAGCATGTTTGTGCAATTGCATGAAATTCATAGTGTTTTCGTTCTATTTTCCATTTTATAAGGGTAAAAACAAATAAATTCCGCATTTGCGCTGGCGTTACCATTTCAAAAGTGGTGAATCGTTGAATAAACCGTTATGTCAAGTACTACCCTCTGAAAAGAAGACATTGGGAAAAACTTATGAGACCTTCACAAACCTGTTCCTTGTTGGGCTGAGGATTTCCCAAGCAGTCGGTGGGTAGTCAGTCAGCTGGTTGGCTTTATAGATAACATCCGCTTTGGGAGCGCATAAACAACTTCGAGACTCCATCTCTCTGCGGCGAGGGTTTTACTTGAAATGTATGACTCGTCGTGCACCTCGAAATGGCTGAAACGGTTCTTGAAACCTCATGTGTGACGTTTCGTAGATCGCGGTGTTATTGACTACCGCGAGTCGAGAGCTAACTAACCGTTTGCGTTCATAAATATAAAACATGGACGGGGTGCGCATTCGCACAGCCTGTTTAACTTTACGACATACTTTATTACGCAGACCTCACGTCATACGAACAATTTTACGAAATTACCGTGTATAAACATGCTAAACGTCTAAATCAAAAATAAAGCAAAAATTTGTCCTTTACCATTTACAGTAAAGTTTAAAAAAATAGAAAATTAAAGTGGGAATAATTTTGCATTTAGACGTTGTTCCTTCTGTAAACACTTCGTGTTAATTGACTAACATTTGATGTAGAAACACCCACGCAACTCAGCAACTTTGTTTCGTAGATGGACTTTTCGCTGAGTCGACATAATTCACTTTCCATCAGCATCACAAACTTTCTCAACTCGCATACGAAAATCCCACCCTCGGCCTCAGAATATTAAATATTCATAATTAAACATTTAATATCCTTCTAAATTATATTAAGAACTTATTCATTATTAACTATGCGTGAAGCTAAAATTACACATTCGTACGCATAATGCGTAATTAATATGAAAATACTTCGCAAACAAGCGCCATGTTACGCAACATAACCTAATATAAACAACATTGCGTATGTGTGCTACAAAGTACAATTTGGGGTTCGCTTTGAGCAAGGAATCGCACATCGTAAACTTACTTTGTGTCGGGTTTATTCATTTTCTGTGCGCCAAATGCTCCGAATAAATAAAGCATAAACATGCTTAGGAACTGCACAAGTGGTAGCAACATGAGTTTATCTTATGAAACATGCGTTTCTACACGTTGGATAAGATTTATGATCTTGACTCAGATTAAAAGTCATAAAATTTTATTACATTGCTAAAAAAACACGCATTAATAATTTTATTATATGCAACTCTTCATGAATATGTGATCATGATTACCTACTTTATTTCCATCCTAACGAACAAAATGGCTTTTATTCATGCAGTTTGTACTGTAATAAAGGCGTTCGTTATTCGCGTTGGCAAATGCTAAATTAAAAGCGACTCTTCGGTTAATTAAGTCGTTTTGTCTCGCATTAACGAACTTGATTATGCATAGACGTGTCTGTTCCGCGAGCATGTGCAGTTTGCGCAGTGCACGTCTAATCAAATTCAACTTCGCTTGTCTCATGCCTTCCCCCTCTTGCATTTTGCATGTCGAGATGTCGGGCGTTACTATACGACAAAACAAAATCCGAGGCGGACAGGAAGAAAGGAAATCTAATAAACTTTACCAGTCTTTGCTGCAAAAATAATTAGCGTGCTCTATCAATCGGAGGGGTGCAATTATTTTAATTGTCGCTTCATTGTTCTTCCGGCAAGAGTGAATAATTGTTCGCGCATTGTTTTCTTTCGGTTGCCATGGAAGGAATGTTAAGATTCTAAACCATTTAAACGTTGCAAACGAATTTATGTCGTGGAGGCAGGGTGTTCATGAGCCGTGAGATGGCATCTTGGTTGCTGTGGGAGGCTGCAACTCTCGCACGTTCGCGGTGTGTGCAACTTGCAACCCCCACACCAATTTTATGCTATATGACGCGTGGCGCCATTAACATGGCAATTTATCAAACTTTAAGACATTTCCTATCAGGAGGACGAATCTTAGCATTCCTGTTCCCCGCAAGACAATATGCTACCTTCCCTTGCTTCCGCGGTCTCCCGGGAGACTGATCTCGTCTGCATATGCCATACATGTGCATCTTAGAGGGGATCAAGTTAATCTGCGCATCGTGAGACGTCTTTTTATCATCCCATTGTGTGCTTTCACTTTTTTTTCATTCAAACGTTCAGACTTAGACGAGTTGATGGATTTGCTGCCATTTTTATATGGACACGCATCACTTGGAAAATTATTCGCGGTTATTATTCATGCTGACGTGCAGCCACGTTCTGACACCCAACGTTTACCCAAGCAGCAGCTCTCTACAGAAAGAAATAAATGAAGGCCGAAACGAAACAGAATAAAACCAAAAAGAATGATAAATATCATCGTTTATTTAATCATATTCTCGACAGAGGAGTAACATTATTCCAGGCAACCAATATTACATCACTGGCTCGAAAAATGCGTGAAAACTTTGTTGTAATATTTTTGTTATGGCACATATTGTTTTATTTTATGAGTTTATTACTGCCAGACGCATTAAATGCGCTGTATTTTATTATGATTTGTAGAACTTGTGAGTAAAATTATAACGGCTTGCAGATTGCGTCCCTTAAAAGCAAATTTCATCTTAATGCGACTCTTGGCGCGTTTATGTAGCGACACGTGACTTCACTTACAAGCCAAAGTGCAGACGGCTATTAAATTCAATGAAACAGAACTCGAGTTCTTGCTAAATTGACATTTGGACACTTCGGCAATTCGCAATTGATGTTTTCTATTGAAATGGCGAGTGCAATAAACATTACACGTAATATTTTTGCTTAATGCATCGATGTAAATCGATTGTAATGCGAGTTGTTGTGACGCACTGTATATCTGATGGATACCCAAGATATATGTTATGAAACAGTGGGAATTCCGGCGACGATTTCGTCGCCTCCACATAAATCCACGTAATGGCCGAATTAATCAATCCTGTTCCTACCTCAATTCACGATTTGCGCATTGCTTCGGGCTTTTGCGGCTCCCGCGGTTGTGCGCCCACAAAAGCAGACATCCGAAACGTATTTCTCTTCTTTTATTGCCATAATGACTAAGTATTAATACTTTGGAAAAAATCTAGCGGCAGAAAGCTTAAAAAGCAAATTCGGGTAGTGTAAGCAGTCAAAATCACAGTTTATAATAAATTAATATTGCAGTAATTCTTACTTTGCGTAGTAAAGTTGAAAGTAAAAGTTTCGAAAATAAGTTAATTCAAATTGTCAGAACCATTAACAATGAATTTGTCTAACTGCGGCTGTAAACGAAGAGCGTAAACGATTTAGTGGCACTTTTGCTAGTCGCAAAACTCCTGGCACTCGAGAGTCGGAAAGCGTGGCGAGCGTCGGCTTGGCGTGACGGTGCTTACTGCGCGCGGACTAATTTTTAATGACACTTGTGCATCTTCTGGATCTTGCAGATCGGAAAAGTTTCCGGCCATTTCCACCGCTGTTTGCTCATCGTTGAGCACGAGTTCATTACCATGTCGAATTGCGCACGACGTTCAGATTGCAGGACGTCGCCTTTAACTTCTTTAGGCAATGCCGCCAAGGAGACAAAAATATAATTATAATTTAGTTGTGTTTGTTTGTTCTTTTCGTTCTACTTGAGTTGACGTTAAAATTTTAAAAGTCCGCTTCGCTTTCAAGCGGCGTTGTTGGCAAAAGTGGCGCACTCGTTTTCTAACAATAAACTAATTAGGACTTCATTTCGGGGGTGGAACAGCGCGAAAGGTTCTTTAAGCAACATTTAACTAATGCAAAACTTTTTGCGCGTTGGGAGAGAGAGTGAGTTGTTTTGCGCTTCGACGGACCCGGCGCAGGGTTTGCAGTTGTTTGTCCTGTCGGGCCGACCCCCGACGTCGTGTCGCTCCTATAATTGTTGTTTATGGGACCATTATACGTATTACTTAGTGCGGTGTGTACGACTCCCTCGTGTGACCCCTGCGCGAAGCGCGACTAGAGACCACTAAATTACCCCCCAAAAGCTGACTGCATTGAAGCATGATACAATGCCAACAAGTCGAATCACAATTTTTCAATCTTGAACGTGGTGAAAAATTCATAAAATTTAAATTTTTTCGTGTTTTCAGAATATTAATTTATAACTCCCTAAGACCGAGTTGAACATTTTTAAAATCTATTTCAATTTCGACAATTTTATTTCGTATTTTTTGCTTTCTTTGCTTTGTTACTGTTTCCAATTCCAGGAAAAATTAGTTTGTCGTTTTTACCGCGACAAGCCCATTTTTTACACCCACTCCATGTTGCCGATCAACCCTTTCCTGCTTTCCGTGCGGTGCTTCGAGCACTCCACAGCTAAAAATAAAACAAAATCGCATCCACCAAGATTTATGGTGTTTCGATGTCTGTATTTTCAAGCTGGATATTTGTAGTTAACCGATTGGGATGCCCCCATCCCTTTTACTGCTCCGTCCCGCGCTGAGGATGTGTTTTAATTAACACAACAATAATTCACCACTTGCTTGACAATCACGGTTAAAATACGTCGTGCACACTTGCAAGGGATTATTTAAAGAACCACTTGCGTAAGCACCACACCCAATTTTACATTAATTGCGGGATCTCCTCGCACTAGTTCAAGTAGTTTGTGTTGAATGTGAAGTGGACGTCAACTGCATTTGTTTTGTCTTTTCAGTGACTTCATCAACTTGTCATTTTCAGGATTCATGCATATTTTTTAAATTGATTTTTATGCATTTTTGTTTCAGTTTTCTGCACGGCGCAGAAACCAACATTGGAGATCCAACCGAAGAGCCCGGTGATTATCAAGGCGGTGGGACAAAGTTTGGCATTGACATGCAAGCCGAGCGTGCAGGATCCCAAGCTGATATCGCAGCTCGAGTGGCGCGATCCAAAGAATAGAAAAATCGACAACACCAATTCAGACTCGCCGTTGTACATTCAGGTAGGGTTTACTCTTTCCACTCACTCAAAGCGATAACTCTTTCAAGCGTGCAATCTCGACAGCAGTTTGTTTTCTATGGATGGTTCCCGATAACCACATAGGATAAAGTCGTGAAGATGAAGGGATATTTGTGGATTTAATTTGATGTGGGTCCTTACTTGACCATAGGCTTACGATTTGCAATTTTATCAAGCTGTTAGAATCAACTGAAAATATATTTCTATATAATGCGTTACAGTTTTTCAACTTTTCTGGTTTTGTCACCTAGTATAACATTGCCAACACGAGAAACTTTAAAATGATTCAATAACTTTTCGCGAAACACGAATGATTCTGTTATTAATAATTAACTAATTTAAAACCTTCTGCATACTCTGAACTTTTTAAAATTTATATTGTATTATTTGTTTTCATTTTAAATATTATTTTTAGCGAATTAATGGCGAAACTGCAGCGGTGTTGATATTCACGAGACTGACGGAAAACCTTTCCGGCAACTATATGTGCACAGCGAAATACGCAAACACTGAACCGCTGGAGGCGACAATTAAAGTCGAGACAATCAGTGAGTACAAATCGATCGGATTTCTACCCGAATTAGCTCCACATAGCTGTTAACTCAAAGCCCACAATGACCAATTCTAATTTGCAGTTGACATCACGTGGACGGACGCCCCCGAGTCACAGTACCCCATTCTGGGCAAAGACTTCAAAATCCGTTGCGAGGTTCAGGCAAATCCGGCGCCCATCGTTGACTGGGTGCGCAACGGCGCGCCAATCATCAATAATGACCGCTACTTCTCCGACACAAAAGGCCTTCTTATCAAGAATGTACGTGAGTCCGACGATGGCGTCTACACGTGTCGTGCAGTGGTTGTCTCTACGGGCAATATAAAGGAGCGCAACATCAAGGTAATTTCTTACCCTTCTTTTCGACTACGTTTAGAATTCTGGAGCTGTATTAATGAGAATTTCATGGTTTGTAGGTCGAAGTTCATATTCCTCCTGTCATTGAGGAAATCAAAGAGGTGTCAATCGTCGAAGGCGAGCAAGCCAGTATTCAATGCAAAGGCACCGGAAAACCACCACCAAGGTACACGTGGATTAAAATGGAGAAACGCCAGAACTTGGCAGAAACCGATCGATTCAACGTCATGCCAAACACCGGTCTTTTGCATATTACACGCGCTGAATATACTGACAACGACGAATACAAATGTATTGCGGAAAATCCCGCTGGACGTGTCGAGACTAAAGTAAAAATCAACGTCTTGATCAAACCAAGAATCTATGAGCTTCTCAATGTGACGGCCCCTGTAGGTTCGGAGACCCGCATCATCTGCAAGGCGTTCGGGCGTCCTACACCGAACATTGTGTTTAGAAAACGCAGTTCACAGGATGCCTTCATGATCGGCCAGCAAAAAACTGACTCCAGAATCATCATTGAAAAGAAAATCGATGAGTTTAAAGGAGAAACATTCGGAACTTTAAATATTTACGGATTGAATCGTAGCGATGATGGCCTCTATGAATGTATTGCCGAGAATAAAGTCGGAAGCGCTTACAAAAACGGTCATATAACTGTAGAATTTAAGCCAACGTTCGAGAAAACAAAGAATTATCCGCCTGTGTGGACGTGGGATAATAAGCCGGGTAACTTGACCTGTATTGCCGAATCTATTCCGAACGCGACAATTACTTGGAGACTGGGTGGTGTAGAAATATTGAACAGTCCAACGATGAAGATCGAAAACCGCGGACCGCAGTCCAGCTTGATCGTTTGGCCTTACGCGCAAAAGCGCTTTTACACGAAGTACGAATGCATCGCAAAGAACAAGCTCGGAGAGGCGGTTAAGGAAATTGAGCTGAAAGAGGCTACCGTTCCCTTGCACGTGCAGCAAGTTACAACGGCGGATCTGACCGCAACTACGGTGAAATTCAACATTGTTGGCCCGCCCAATTTACATGGGCTTCCTCTGCGAGCGTTCGTGGTACAATATCAGACTGAACGTGAGCGGGCCTGGGACACTGCTATAAATAGAACTTGGAGTATAGGTAAAGATAAATTGAAAAATGAACAACAAGAACAGTAGTTCTATCAATTTCCATTTGTATTGTCTGATGTTGACTCTATCGGGTGAAAATCTTTTGTTTGTTTTAATTCCCAGACGGGCCACACATCGTGGAGAACCTAATTCCACTAGAGACGTACAACTTCCGGTTTGCAGCCAAGAACGACGTTGGGTTGGGCGGCTTCAGCGGCAACCGACAGATAACGATGCCTCGACGCTCCGTTCCCACCGAGCCAAAGATCCTTGTCTCCAATTTGGAAGAAGGCAACACACGCGAATACGTCGCGCTCAGCCCCTACGCCGATCACTTCGAGCTGCGATGGAATGTGCCTGCTGACAACGGCGATCCGATCGACAGCTACATAATTAAATATTGCATTGTAAGTTTTTAAATTCTCATCTATCCAACTCCTACTCGTCAAAATTATGATTCTGTATTACCATATTTGCATTTTGCCATTTCTGCAGACTCAGCGTGTAGCTGGCGGGTGGAGAGATTCTGAACATGAATGCAGTTCGGAAATCACGCAATCCTACACCTATACCAGCTACGACCTCAACCAGCTCAGTGCGGACACAACGTATAAAATTGAACTGCGAGCGCACAACGCAATCGGCTCCAGTCTGCCGGCCGAGATCCGCGTGAAGACCGCCCGAGGTAAGCAGCAGCAGTATTTTAGTTACGACGCCACCCTTTCGTCTTCTGTCGATCGAGTTTATGTTTCAATTAGTCTATTGATTGCGATTATCGCCGCCGCCCTCGGGATGTGATTCTATGACATTTTCTTATCACGTATAGTTTTATTTTGTCCTCCGTTGTACTTTCTACTAAATTTTTCCCTGACCAATCAGCCCACACGATTTCCGGTTGTGTGTTACGTATTCGTTCGATGATTTTGTATGTTACTAGTATAGTTTAAATTAAATACCTGAAATTATGAGAGAATGGATATATGAGCGAATGAGGTGTGTTTGTGTTGAATATTTTTATCCGTTGTCAATTAACTAAATGAACCTACTCTTTGTAGTAGGAAGATACTACGGGACGGCGTCGAGCACGACGATCTCGATACTACTCCAAGCTGCGTCACTGCTCATAACATGTTTACGAAAATCAAACTTAGTCTAACTCAACTCAAACTTCAACTTTACCCTTTAGTTAAATCTTATCAGTTTAATAAGTTAGCGAATTCTTGTTGTGTTGAGGTTTTCTTTTTGATAAAATCACGAACAACTTTTATACCAAATTCCAAACACACTACTTACATTATTCGACAAATAATTATATAAACTGACCAGTATTACTTATTTACTATCCAGTATCCACCGAACAAAAAACTATATAAACTAAATGAATAAATCTGGAGTAAAAATGAGTAAATAAAATGAAATATGTCGAGGCAACGTTTTTCGTAAGTCAATTATTCTGAGCATGCGAGTTGAAATTTTCGTTTTAATTTCATGGTTTACACATGTCATGACCCTAGCGATCTGTTTCTTGATGTTCTTGCATCTGGATGTGCTCTGGTTTATGTCCACCCATCTATCTCCGTGCAATTAGCTCGCCCGACCCGAATGAACTGACAGTCAATAAAATAATGTTAACGAGCGCAGAAATTAATTCATTTCTGCATCTGATTAAAATCGTTTGATTGTTCGAATAGTTGGAGTAGTAGTTTATTTATTTGTTTGCACGTCGTTTCCCTGAACTCAAATGTAAAGTCTACGATGTTTACTTTTGTTTATGTATCCGTTTTTATTGTAATTCTGTAACAATAACATTCATAATTCATTATTTGTTTTGATCGAATGGCGAATGTATTTGTGTTAATGTTTTGGTTTTGTAATAGCACTAACGTTTGTTATATGATCCAATTTTGTGACTTAGTATGTTAAATATGTTTAATTATATATATTACATATTAGTGTTGTTGTATGCGTGTATTGAGCATGAAGTACGAATGTGATATTATGTAGCTAGTTGATTGTATTATTATATCGATAAGGACGAATTATGATGGTATTATCGGCCGAAGAAAATTAAATAAAACACGTACACGTCGAAGAAACAAATGCTGCCAAAATCTACTATATATATTATGAAAAATTATATATGAAGTAATTATATTAATTATAAGAATATACAATTATGAAATTCATTGGGACTGCATCATTTAGCACATCACAACGTGGTAGAATATCATTTAATCGAACACAATCAATGGCTCAAAATTAAATTTTAAAAATTCACAAACATCACACATGAACATTAAATAGATTTTAAATATTTAACACAAAATTAAAGCATGTGTTAACTGCGATGAAAGCATGCATTTTCAACATTTTGCATGTTTATTGATGTTTTTAATTGTTTCTCGGTAAATTATGACAATAACTTAACTTGAACTTAGTTAAAATCGTTACTCATTAAAGAAAACATTTAACACATTCATTAAACTCTAAAAAATCAAACATACTCACAAATATTTCATTTGATTTAAAGTTTTCTTCTATATTTCAATTGTGTGTTATAAAATAACAAAATATATTTATAAATACGTTACGTTGTAAACTTATCGAATAAGTTTATAGACACATATTTCGTTGAAGATTGAAACTTTTATTACCATCGATAAGGACACTGTTTTGTAAAACTATGTATACATATTAATTATTATGGACGTGATGGGGAATGGAAGAGGGCAAGGAAATGAAGGAATACTTGCGAAACGTATACGGTGTTTTATTACATCCCAGCAAAGTGAAGAAATTAATGAGTTGCAAATTGTTTTTGTTCTGAGTATGGCTTCAGTTTGATTTCTAAACTTATTATTTATTGTGTAAATTTTTATTTTATTTAGACAAATGACGCTTATGTGAAGTGATGTACGCAACCTGAAAGTGATTTTACAATATGCAGAGACAGACTGGACAAATTTGTTATCAACTTCCAAGTATTAAAAAATCCAAGCGGCTGTCTCGGTATATGTATTTATTCATTTATTGTGTGTGTGCGTGTGCATACAAATCGGAGAGTTTTGTGCGCGTTTGCCGAGCGAGCGACGATGATGGACTGAAACAAAAATCCCGCAACAAATTGCATAACTCGTACGTAGATTTACATCTTTGTGATGGATGTAAAGGTATATAACATCACTAATTGTATAAGTAGATGTAGCTTTAGATGGTCTGCATGCCGAGGCATTGTTACCATTATTACCTCCATTCCCATTTTACTATTTACCCTTTTTCCGCGCTTTAATCGCATGTCGCATATCTTTTTCGGTGTTTTGCAACATTTTTACAGGGTATAGTGTATTTATAATTTTTGTATGAATAACATGAGATAACCGACCCTTCTGACTTTATATGTTGGTTTTATGGATACCGCAAGGGCAATAAAAACGGATTAAAATATTCATTTCTTTTATAACGTGTAATAATTTTTTAATGTTTACAAATTTTGTGAACATCGTTAGATGCAAGCAAATAATTTATCTACATGAATATATATATGTTCTTGTTTTAGTCGAAAATAGAGTATAGCATGACATTAGTTATAAAAGTTTGTAAAAACAAAATTAAATATTACGGTGCTCTTACCCACATTTTATTGCAATAATGGTCTAGCCATTATATTACTCATTGTCTTCATTTAGGGAACTGTTTAAGCTTGTTAAACACTTTACAATTTGCGTACAACATTTTTTCGATTTACACCTTGACTAATATTTCTATCGATGTCACTCTTTTCTAAACGTATGCATAATATTTAAGATTGTTTCATAATTATTGAAAAGTTTCTAAAATATTTTTGATTATTTAGGTGTTGACGTCCTGACATTCCATGACCCACCGGCCATTAGCAGTGTAATGATTATCGGCATCGTCGTCGCCGCAGTATTCCTGATCCTTATTGCCGTGGACATTACATGCTTCTGTGTGAATCGTGCCGGAATTATTGCAATGATCTTCTCCAGATCAAAGAGAATGGATGAAGAGGATCCTAAACTATCCAGGTGAGACATGTTTAATTTTCAACTGCTAAAAATGTGCCATTAAGTGAATAATCAATACATATTGACTTTCAAAATTGTGAATAAAAAACGCTTCAATGTTGAAAGAAATTGTACGGCACAATTTTTAACACCAGTACGAATGTATCAGTCTATACAGTTGGCGATTTCCGCTGCCTTATTGCAGTTACAAAGCTGCCCCGGCGCACCCCAACAGCCTCAATCTGCCACTACCCGTTAAACTGGCCCCCTCACCTGTGTAAGACAATTGCAACACAATTTTTTGATTGCAAACAAAAAAATGTTTATTTTTTCAATTTTTCCTGCATTGTACAATTTTCTTGAATGGTACCGATTAGCATGCAATTCGTTTGTAATTGATATATTTACAAATTGAAGACTGACTAGTTCTAGAGTGAGCATGTAAATATCAACTCTCTGGGTTGTTTGTCCAGTTGCCAGACTGTTTGTTATTTGTTTTCGCACGACCGTTTGCCTGCGTGTTCGGAATGTTTATCAATTGTGGCTAAGAGTCGAACCGCTAGTGAAATGTAACTCATGTATCAATGTTTTAGTGACGAAAAGGAGCCTCTAAGTCCAGAGAACCGCGACTACACCCCGCTTCAACCCATCAACGGCGAAAAGCGGGACATTTCCGTTGAATTTGATGGTAAAGGAGTAAAGACCACATCTGGTAGCACCATTGGCCGACACTCTGCAGTCTAATGTGTACTTCATTTTTAATCAGGTATGTTTTATCGGCGATTACATTATACTAGTAATCACCAAGGGATATGAGAATGAATTACCAGACAACGTAACAAATAGCCATAAACCGTGACAACCTGAATTTTTTTTAAATGCAACGTGATTCTAACGAATTCTTTGCTATATTTGACTGTAAATTTAATACTTCAAAATAGCATTTTGTACCAGTATTTTGAAATGTACCGGTGAGGCTTATTTGACCGCAATTTTCAGCTTTTGATGACGTCAAAATCACTTGCATTCATATTTATCTTATAGTATATACTATATAATGTGCCAAAACATGCAACATTTTCACATTTATAAGAATTTGTAAATGATATATATTAGCTAGTAGCTTTTTATACGATGTTTTAACGAGCCAAAGTGAAATTACAATTGTAAGTATTAAAAATTTATACTTTTTATCATTAAGGATTATCAGACACAATTTGCCGACTTTTGTACGAAAGCTTAAGCGTATTGAATGTAGAACAAAATCGGCACCCAATCACAATGTGTTTTGTATGTGCGCGTGCGAAATCTAAATGAAGCTAAAATTCTATTTATATACGGAGACGATGCAAGCAGAAGAATCATGACACTTATTGTAATGAATTGCTTTTAATGTGAATTTAATGTATTATATTATAAACTATTCTATTTAATTGATAGCGAAGTAAATGAATGTAAATTGTTACCACTTTAGTTCGAATTTAAAGTTAAACTTAAGTAATTTTGTATTGTATGCATTTTAGTTAGTTGTCCCATGTCTTACGTACTCGGTGATTACGCAATAGGGTACTTAAAAAGAGTTGCGCAAGACTGAGTTTGTTCTGGCTAACTATTGCAGGAATTAATTAGCATTTTACAGTATTTTATAGTTTTTCAATTGAATCAATGCTATAAAACCTTAAAGAATAAATGTTTTCTATGATACCAAAAACCAATACTAAAATTATCTACCTGGTGTCTCCAACTGGATGTTTACGTCGGCTAGCAATTCTCTTTCCTGCTTAGTCGGTCGTGCGCGGTGGTGTGGTGAGCACGTGTTTTGTTGGTGCGTCTTTCTGCATAGTTATTAATCGCGTTTCTTAAGATGTTAATGTGATAGTGGCATGGGTGACAATGAATTTCAGCAAGTGTGGCTTACAGTTATTGAATTATCGTGCATGGAATCTGAAAGTGATTGGCTTTATCCTAACAATGGTAGCTGCCGTCGGATACCGTCCGCTTGCTAATACGTCGAATTGGTATTATTATTTATTCAACTGTTAATTTATTCAGATAAGCAACATTTATTACTAATGTGAAGTCAGTTGTTAGCAGAAGGACAATTGAGTAACGTATTTATTTATTTTAATATTTACTTATTTTTTTTATTGGGTACTGAAACCATGTGGTACCGAAGTTACACAGCTATAGAAAATGGTTTCACCACACGTTAAAGAAATACAATTACAAAGTACTTTCATGATTGTATGAGGTCCAATAAAAGACAATTTAATATTATACTTGTAAGCCTATTTCTTTTTATATCCTTTTGTCGTTTTCAGGAATCGTTTAAAAATAGTATTTGGTTTAACTTTCGTGTGCGTGTGACGAAACATGTGTTGTTCGTGTTGTTCTTTTAAAAACATGAATAAAAGTGCAACATTTATACCTGAAACGAATACGGTAAGATAAGAGAGCGCGGTGGCTCAGGTGCATGTACCTGTACTTGCATATTCGAGATTCATGGTTCGAATCCCAGTAGAGCAAGGATGTTTTCTTAAATATCAAAATAAATCCGAGTAATGTGGGTTGCCTATGCATCAGAGTTGAAATTCAAATGAAATTCGAATAACAACGAAGAACGAGAAGGAGAGGACGGGCAATACAGAGAAAAGAAGTTCGGAATAGAGTGAGGAAAGGAGTAGAGTAGGAGGAACGGAGTAAGATGAGAAAAAGCCACCCCGAGAACAGGAGTGGCTCAGATTTTTAAATTTTTTGGCCCGTGTCGTTAGACAGTCTACTGCTTCGATGCGTCCATTGCTCCCGGCCCATCCTACAGCTACGATGTCTCTGCGCTTCATCCCCGAAATTATCAGGCATATCAACAATTTTTATGGTGGGGGATCATCCCTGAGAGGGGAACTCCTTATAAGGACAATCCTTATAAGGTCTTGTACAAATATTTCTAAGTTTTAGTCGCCTCAAGAGGGCGACACTTAAAAATATTCTTACAAGTTCTGACCTGTACCTGAAATGGAAGGAGGGGAACATACAAATCATATGGGGCAAAATCACTTGTAATATTTCTTTATTGAGACATGTTTTACAATGAAAACTTAGAATATATAAAATTAAACCAAATATACGCCGCCATCTTTGAATCTAGTTATACGACCAGTATAGCCTCGCACATGCAGACAAGTACCTAGAGTAAAGAAAATAACAAATAAAACATATAATACTCACAAAATTTGTATAATTTTCACGGTAATTACGGAAAACTATTGTACAGAGTGTTTCAAAAACAATATAGAATATTTTTAATAGAGAATGCAAAGTTCAAGTAGGAAAATATATATCTAAAATCACTCCCAATAATATCACAGAAAATTAATATACAGGGTGATGCAAAAAGAAAATCCTAAGTTTTAAAAGAAAAACGCCCAAACACTAATAATTATGACCTATTTTTCAGTAAATAAGTGTTTAAAGACCACGCGGTTGACATAAAAACAAGTAAAGTCATTATTGGATTTGATTTTCACATGGCTGAAGTAATGCGAAACATACCTTGATGCAAAATAGATTTTTGTGCCTTTGACTTATCCAGTAAGTTGTAAGGATCTTAATTATGCACATTGTAGGAACGATGAAGTACGCGTTTAATACAAGAGAGTATCCGACGGCCGACGGAATATCACTCACGCTTTACCGCTGTGTACGTACAATTCTCATTTAACGAACGACTCACATCACTCGCGCACAATCGAAGAAGCATTTAGTAATATTATGTAACAACGCGAAGAATAATTCACTCAAGAATAATGAAGAAAATTTGCGTGCGGATCACCTGACGACAAAAATGAGACTAACGTGATACACAAGCCAACCGCGTGGCGACAAAAATTGTACGAGATAACTTGTTTGTTAGTAAACAATGATGCTTTCAGCGTGGTAGTGCAATGACAAAACATTTCTTTTTTTTTATGTCGAATGCAGTTTTCATTAAAATTTGCAAATAGGGCCTAAACGGTTGTTGTTAGCAAAAAATCGTACTAAAATAATCGATGTAGAATTAAATTATATAATAGTATACGAAAACAGAATTTAAAAATTCCAATTTTTAATTTCGTACATAAAAAAGAAAAATCTTTTGCCTTTTTTATAATAAAATCTTTTCTTTAAAAATTTTTAGTGCCCATTTCTTCGTTTTGAGAAAAATATGCCATCTTGTCTAGAATTTTTCAAGGATTAAGAATATGTAGTTATTTTTATTCTATCCCTTTTAGTTGTCGAGATAATTTTTCTCAAAACGAAGAAATGGGCACAAAAAATTTTTAAAGAAAAGATTTTGTTATAAAAAAGGCAAAAGATTTCTCTTTTTTATATCGAAAATTAAAAGTTGGAATTATTAAATTTTGTTTTCGGATTATGATTGATAATTTAATTCTACATCGATTATTTTAGTAACTTTTTTTGTTAGTACTAACCGTTTAGGCCCTATTTGCAATTTTAATGTAAACCACATTCGACATAAAAAAGAAAAATGTTTTGCCTTTTTTATGGCGAAATCATTTTTCAGCAAATGCAACTTTTGAAATAATTGGAATTTTTAAATTCTGTTTTCGGATACTGAAAGTAGATTAAATTCTGAATCGGAAACAAGTAACACAATTATAAATAAAGGCCCTATTGGCATGTAAAAACAGTTTTTTTAAATAAAATTGCAAATAGGGCCTAAACGGTCAATGTTAGGAAAATAATTACTTACTTAATCAATAAAGAATTACAATATCTTTCAGAATCCCAAAACAGAATTTAAAACTTCCAATTATTTTATATATTTCTTTGTAAAGAATACAATGGGTATCAAATTGAAATGTTTTTATTTCATACAACGCATTCACACAATTGAGTATTACTTAAGTCATATCGTTTCATGAAACTAGATTCCACTGGAATGTTCACCTTCTTCATCATACAATTATATATTCAACTGACAAAACCAATACTCGGACATAACTAGACAATCTCATTAATGAGTGTGGAAGCCAAATATTTCCGTAATTTGTTATTGATAAATGTCTCATTTCCATCTCACATGTATATAAATATCATATTTACATAATAATAAATATATATCTTATTTAAAGTAATAATTGTTAATCTTTGAAATAGTGCACTTTAAACTGCTCTTATCATAGTACTATAAGTAATTTTTCGTCGTAAATAATTCTCTTTTTGTGTTTTTTTACGCATTACTCGATGGCCACGATAATATAAGTAATGGGCTATATGCAAGTAAGTGAATGGAAATTAAACGGCGCATGTGCTTAATATAATTAAAGTAAATGCAAATGTCTTCGCCTCATTAAGTACAGTTTGGTCTTTCCCGATATTCATGTTGGAATTTAGAAAATCTACAGTTCTTTATTAGGTTGGATTAAATTATTAAAATAATTTATAATTATAAGTGATTAGTGAAAATAGTCAAAATGCACGTTTGGGAATGTCATGCAGTCTTAAATAATTACATTAAATGCAAGGGTACAAATATAATCTAGGAAACAAAAGAACAAAGCGTTTCAGCATTCCCTAGTATTAAATTGTATCTGTGTTCACAATAAGGCAGCATCTCTTCTACAATTTGTGTTCATATGTAACATCATAAAATTCGCACAAATTCATCAAAAATTATTTGAGTGTCAAGAGCACCAAGACGTCCCGATATAGTCATTTAATTGAGTTCATCTACAAAGAGTATATAAGTACAAGTCACAAATGTTGTTTAGAGCGTGGAAAGAAAAAGATTGCACATGTATGACTATGTTGTTGTTTCTTTTAGTTATCACTGTTACGTGTTAATTATCAGGCACCATGGATTGTAAATGTTCAGAATTAATCTACGTTTTGTATAGGTTTATGGCTAACTTAATGGTTTTTCATTTGGAATAGCAAAATTCATTCGAATTCAACTTATTTGAGCATCAAGCACTAGAATTTTAACAAATTATAATACTATCAATTAATTCGCTTGCCTATGACATAAACTCCTTCTCCATTTCCGAGAGGGTAGGCCTCTGTCGAGACTTGCGTATCAGAGGCGCGTTGGCCTCCGGATGCTGACCACCAGTTAGATTGATATCCATAAGAATGGGTGAGAATCTAACGCGACTTACAGAACTATTGTTGCTGTCTTTGGCTGAGACATACGAGCTGTCATCGCTGGTGAGACTATCAGGTGGTGTTGGATTCGTAGGCGTATTACCACCGGAATGCCCCTGATTCGGTTGGTAATTGTTGCGTTTGAGGCTGGATCTCAACTTGGTATACCCCGTTTCGAGGGTATTGGGGCGTTCGGAGTCTTGTCTGGGCGTGAAAGGGACATTATAATCGTACTCCAAAGGCCTGCGAGGAAAATGGGTAGGCGTGTAAGCTTCTTCGTCAAGTTTGAACGTTGGATTCACGTTGGAACCGCTCGTAGTAGTTGAACTTGCATTAGACACGTTTGAGGGTGTTCTACGATGATTCTGAATGGAAAGTCTTTGTGGTGTTCTTGAACCACTATGGCTGCTTATACTACTGGGGTTGTCGTACGCGTAGTCCGTGACGTAGCCGTACATGGTAGTACTCGTCCCCGTGCCACTGTACTCAGAACTATATCCAGCTGAATAAGTAGTCTCCTGGTAATTAAAGCCCAGATTGGTTTCGGCACGATAGTTGCCAAAATCGTTCCTCGTCAGATAGCCTGAGCAATGGTTGGATTCGTTGTTGGGTTGGTAATCGCCAGGTATGTAAATAGTAGTTGCACGTTCGTTGTATGGAATGAACAGCTCTGAACCATCGTTGCTTGTAGAGCTGGATTTACGACGCGGTGAGGGATTCGGAGTGATTTGAATGATATGTTGTGGGGAGTCAGTAAATCGGAGTGGTTTTTGGTCGTGTTGAAGATTGATCAATTGCGAACCAGATAATAAGGGTCGGTGGTGTTTTGTGGGGCCATGATAGGTATTATGATTATAGCTGCCCCCAGTCGTAGAGTAGTCATATTCATGATTCTCAATTGCTGGTCGCCATTGTTGCACCTCGTTATCATCCACTCTACAATCATTCAACACATTTAGTAAGCAATGGTAAGCAAAGTAACTGTCATAGCTGACTTAAAAGAGTAAATGTATGACGTAAAATCACAGAATATTACCTATTTGGTTGTAGCTTTGGGTGAAAAGGTGAAACATTTGACAAACGAACATCATATCCAGAAGCGACGCCCGCCAGCATTGCAGCAATATTATACAGCACCAGCTCAACAATTCCTAGTTTTGGTTTAAGTTTTATTCCTAAAATAAATCAAAACAACGCATTAGCATCTCCAGTCTGTTAAGTGTTAGGTAATTGTCACCTTCGGCGCTATAAAGTGTAGGAATAGGCACATTGTGACGAATCGATATCGGATATTCGGGCCCCCAATCTTCCGCCGACGAATAATCTGCAGAACATACATTTCCAAATTTGTTTAAGGCCCATTAATGGATTATCAACAAAAGTACCACAAAAGCTAACAACTCTCAAGAAGCCATCAAACACATTAATAAAATAGCCGTTATTAAAACAAATCACTTGAATAAAAAACACACCATAAATCAACTCGTCAAGAAAATTAATTCTTAAAAATATAAATCAAGACTACAAGTCTGTAAATATCGTGCTATTACCCAGGACATGCCGGTGACAGGAAATAATATTAAAGTAACATTAAAATAAATATAAATTAATTCATTAAAAAATAAATAAATTATACACATAGCTTTAATGATCATTATATAGAAAAAAAAAACATAAACTTAAAAATATTTTTTTAAAACATCGTTACAATGTTTATTGAAGAAATTTATACATACATTAATTTAAAAAACCACCACCAAAACCAGGGGGTAATAAAAGGACAATGCAATTCGAACACGTTCCTTGGCACACACATTACAACACTAGTAAACTGTCGAGCAATAATGAATAAACTGTTCGTAGTGTTCAAGCGGCATTGACAATATTTCGGAAGTATTAAAGTTAATGATTGCAAACTTCTATCTACCTTCCTACAAAATAAAATCATATAATTTATATAAAAAACACAAATATTTAAATTTTAAGACTCTATGCACACACACAATGCTTATGCGAGAAATGAACTTAAGCTGAAATCAAAACTGTTTTCATAAATCGCCTAAAACTGTCTGTGCTTAAAATGAATTTCTAAACGAAATAAGACGATTAATATATTTACAACAGGCATACAGTAAAAGTTACTGCATCCCAATGAAAATTGTAGGATGCTTTTGTTTTTACTGCACTCTGCATTGGCGAGATGAGACAAAAATCACTTACAAGCAATGTTGGGAAGACTTTCTTCAGTAAGTATCCCTTGAAAAACAAAAACGTGTGAATAAATGGAACAAAGACAAAAGTGATTGGTGAGTGTAGTAGCTAGCATGAAATGAGTCCCGGCGCGTCATTTGAGCAACTTTTCGGTAACACTGTGATTGCTATCGTAATCGTCTGAGGAAAAACTAATTGAATTGTTGTTCGCGAGTAAAGGTGACGCGCGCCCCGTTGCGATAACAAAACTGTTTGTACTAAACACGGTGTCGTAGTGTGGCTCGGTAATGTTACCGATGGACCGGCTACGCCTGCTCTCGCCCAGTACCGAAGAGGTGTTGTTAGTCGAAAAACTATGATTACGCGCGGAGGAGGCGCGTGCGCCAGCCGGCTCGGACATGGCAAAAGCGTTTGTTACTTTGTTGAATAACTGCTGCAGCATGTTATAATCACCACCAGCGGTAGTAGTAGGACTACCCTTAGTTTCGGGGGGAGTTGGGGGTGTCGTGTTACCTATATCATGTGGTGGCGGGCGGCCGAGCGCGCCGCGAGCTTTATCCAGGTTGGGCGCGCTCTTGGAGAAGACGCCACCGGGTCGTTGTGTCGGTCGCAGCGATGGGATCTGCCCTCGCTCACGTTGATGACAGGTGCTTGGGCCCCAGGTCTTGCCCTTCACCCCGTCCGCAGGCACTGCAAGACAACAATATTGTGGTCGACCCTATAGTGTCGCGTTATCTCAAACCCCGCATCCCTTCGCCGCATATTTGTTTGCTTCTCGAACTAGTTCCGTGTCGTGTGTAAGATTGTATGATTAATAATTTCAAACCAGTTCAAAAGGTCAAAAATTCACAGTAAAATAAAACTTCTACATCAACGTCACACTCGAAAAGCAAACCGTGCATTCATCACGCAAAAATACCATGCAATCATTTAAAATATGAATTCGTTTTTTAAAGATAACTCACGCGCAATCGCCCGAAGTCTTGTAATCGCTGGAGATCCTGGAGGACTGTGCGTGGAAATGACGCCGCTGAGCGCTTTGTTCGGCACATCCGTCGTGTGTTGCACAGTGATTGTGTGTCGGAAATCCGAGGGAAAGCTTATACTGGATCCAGGTTCTTTTTTTAATAACTTAAGTCTTGATCTCTTAAATTTGCCTGCAAGATATTAGGTAAATGAAGTAAAATGAACACATTATAATTGCAACAAATGAATATAATTATATTATATTGTTGCATTGTGAATGATTATAATTAATAAGAAACTAAAAATAACTTAAACAAAATGTGAAAAGTATCGGACTACAGGCAATATCCATAAACAGGGATAATCCTGTGAAAAAACCTTTCGTCTTTAATATGCGCCCAAATGAAAGCAATCAACATAATGGGTGTATGCCATTGCCAAGCAAAATGGGCCGAAACCTCGTGCATAAATTACATCCTACTGACTAGTGTATACGCTTAAAGTCCAAATACCTTTTCGTTTGATGGGGGTGGGCGTGTGCTGGTTGATCATCAAGTGCAACTCGCGCTGCAGCAGGTCCAGCTCACGATGGCGCAGCTCCTGCTCTTTCTGCTGCAGTTGCTCGGCTTGCCGACGTTGAAGAACTTGTGCTCGGTTCAGATTCTCCTCACGGTTTCGCAACTCCTAAAATAATCTCAATAAATAACACAACACTCCAACAATTCCCGTGGAAGTAAATTAAAGACACCCAATCGCAAATGTAGTCAACTATTTCAGATGCACACAAAGCAAAATTCTACAAAAGCACACAGTATTTACCTCCTCAAACGATTTGCAAGCCTTTTATTTGTGTGTTCAGAAGCAGCAAGAAAGAAGAACGTTGAATCAAATTTATGTGGTTTAAAAATTTTACAAGTATTGAGATATGTGTTTAATTGTGGCATAATTTTACCTTTTCCTTTCTGCGAAGTTCAAGCAAAACTTCCTCAATTTCCCGCCTCCAATCATCCTGCATAGTGTGGAAACTCTCGTGCGGTGTTTGCGTGAAAGATGAGTTTGCAATGTTACTTAGCGAGATAAGAATCTCTTTGAAGCTAGGTCTTCGGTGCGAATCGGACTCCCAGCATTCTATAAACATTTTATATTTACAAAATTTAGTTGCATTTTTCAACAACTGTTTAGTGAACATGACAGGTACACGATATAAAATCCACCCAAATCACACGTGCATGCATAATTCGTGATTTCCAACAGGTGACATTATCCGACATCTTCATGTCATTATTTATTCGTGTACGCCTGCGGTCGCCAAACCCCAACGCTAACCGGAACGCATTTAAATTCAACTTCTTTGACACGCGCCGACAAAAAACCCAACAACCTACATTCAAAACCTTTACATTTTTGTGCCGCATTATTATAAACAATGAAAGCTATAATAATTACTTTGCATTAGTGATCGCCATTGTTCGGGGCAAGTCTTGGGGATGGGCAGAGTGAGCTTGTTGGCGGCAACACCGTACGCCACCGCCAGAGTATCGATACCCTTGTAGGGCGTTTCGCCGGTGAGCAGTTCCCAGAGGAGCACGCCGTAGCTCCACACGTCGCTGGCGAGCGAGAATGTCGAATTACGGATCACTTCGGGCGCCATCCAGGCGTAGGTGCCCGCCTGCGACATCCGCGTCGTTTTGTACACTTCGCGCGCTAGCCCAAAGTCCGTAATCTTCAAAGTCTTCGACTCTAGGTCGTTATTCTCGATGGCCTCTTTCAGTAGCACTGCAATACAAACACAAAATAGACATTAACTACATCACACAACGTGCAATCACCAACAACTATCTCGAAAACAATTAACAGCAATATATTTCTGCTAAGAGGGAGTAAAACACACGGTTTACTTTACTAGTTTATTTATGACCGCAAGACCAACGCGGAGTAAAATTAGTTACTTGGCATTATTTTAAAAATAAAGTTGGATTTGCTTTTATTTTTTTAAGTATCTAACAGTTTTGAATCTTTAACCGTTCAATTTCTTTTGTTTGCTTAAATATAATCATATTTGGGTGTGTTGCGTTTAGCATAGAATACTATGTCGTAACATAGGCAGCATTCAGCCCACCACAAACAGATTTGATAAATAAACAAAACAACGTCGCGTATAGAATGAAATAATGTGCGGCAACGATTTACAACTTTATCTAAAGTTGAATTCTTGCCTTCTAACAACGACAAACCGATTCAATTTGAATACATAACTCAGCTAATACCAATTTATGACTTTAATCCGAAAACTTGTAAAATCGAGCCGCAATACGCGACAAATTACATGCGATACAACTTATGATAGGATGGATAACAAACAGAATAAAGAATAAACATTAAATAAAGATCAGTTACATCATCATCACCAAAACATAAGTGATCACTTATTGCTTATCGAAAAACTTTAAATTCGCGCATTTTATTTCTATCGCTATCCATTTGTGATACGTACTGCGGTGAGGAATTTATAATACCAAGGCAGCCGGTTTTTGATATCTTTATCTTTCTGTTTAGCATTTCACGTTCGAGAAGCAGACGATGAGAGAGACGTGGTAGTCGCCGTCGGTTCGGAAACCCCGTCGGTGTCGATTGTATTTTCTACGTGTTTCTATTTTTAATACACCAACTTCACCGCACACTCCGCTACGCCAATCACTTTGCAGCGCAAAGAACTAATTTCCAATGCACATGCGATTGCGATTTGACTCGATTATTGTAATTGTATTTTTTCATATGTACAAGATGAAATAATTATTTGCCTTTCAATCGGCGTGCAGGTACACTGACCTATTCAAATTGTTTTCCACGTTCAACATCTTGTGCCATTTAAGGCATCTTCAATGCCATTCGCACACTAATCACGGCACTACCATTCGCAAACTGTCAATCAGGCCAGGTTTATGTTTTCGATATGAATTTATTGTTGACTGGTTTGTTTTGTATTATTCACAATTCAAAATTAAATATTTGCATTAATAGATACTCCGATGTGTAGTGAGTATACTATCTCTAATAAAATAAACATAATGTTTTATTTTTTGTTCAGTAAACTTCTCGGAACTGAAAGTTTCTTATTCCGCGTGTTTACGAAGCACGAGCGGTAAATGACGTTTCTATTATGCATTACGAAAAGGTCCAGAATGTTTTCCCCTGAGTCAGAAAATGTTTGGACGTAAAGTCTTGAAGTTTTCAGCACAATGTTCTGACCCAATTTTCGTACTTGTCCAAACTACTCCTAAACTGAAACTGACTTTGCATAATGCATTTCTGTTTCCTCATAATTCTTATACTAACATGTAAAACTTAAGTTTAATAAATTAAACATATTATAATTATTCTAATTAACAAGACTGTTGTGTGTTTTGCGTTGTTTTATTTGTCCCAGTTTTGCTGAATCGATCTAAGTAAATATCAAACCAATACACATAAATCGAAAAGCAAGAATGGTTTATTGCCGCGATTTACTCGGTTGCACGTCGCACGCGAATATGATAATTAAATATTTTATTCCGTGTCGATAAATCCATCGTTTTTGAACTGTGAAGCAAATGAAGTAATGCATTAAATGACCCGTGTGTTTGCGTTGCATGCAAGAGTAAAAGTTTCCTTGAATATAAGTTATAATAAGTTGAATATAACACGTGCAGTGGTTCTACGCTATTCATAAAGGGTGTAAGTTAAAAAATATGCCTGAGTAGTGAAAACTTTCACTAGCTGTGGCAAATAGAGCACATTGAAATATTATTTATAATAGATTTCATTATCACAATCATGTAAATCTTATCTCATACATAATTCTATATGTGAAGGTGTGGTTGTTACGTTATAGCATTTTCAGATTATCTTCTGTTATAAATATATTTGCAAGAGTTAAAAAGTTTTTACGCGTTGCAAAAGTAGGAAAAGTCTGAAACAAAATGTGTGAAATTTATCGCATTTAACTTTGTTAAAACCGGTTACAATTAAAACATAGATAATCTTTGAGCCGCATTCAAATCTGATAATATAGCAATGATTAGATTAGATTTAATTTCTCCTGATATCCTGTGAATATTTTTACAAATTGGTGTTTATTGTGAGACGGTACGTAGTGGCATTGAATATTTCCTTCATTTTCATTATTTATTCAAATCTTCGAACTTAAAACCGCAAATAAAACCAATAAAACCATGCAAATATGTTTTACATTTTTACAAAGTTTAACGGTTTAATTCTTATCGGCTTAAATTGTATCAAAATTCAATAAAAGAAGATCATATCGTCAATGTTACTGTGACAACCTATATACTACACATTTCTATAGATATAACTTCGTAAATAACTAATATTTGAGATGCCTGCTTATTATCTTATTCAAAAGTAGACCTAAAAAATTTATCAAAACCTAGGGAAATTCCCAACACCACTTTATCTCTAATAAAGTGTGGGTTAAATTAAAATGCTATAAAAAATGTTTAAAAGCTAATTTCGAACACCATACAAACAAACTTATCAGTTTTGTCGTCACCAAGTGAGAGTGCTAAAAGTGACATTTTCAGGGAGAAATAAAACATTTTTAGTCATATTTAATTAAAACATATTGTTTTCGTTGATATTTAGGTCGATATATAGGACGATGAATGTAATGCTTCATATATCCGATAATTACACAAATAATTTATCCATGTGATCGGTAAAATATTCATAAATCCATTAAGAAATGCTAAAGTCTAAAATTCTGAGTTTTCCTATAAACACATTTCATTTACAATCAGCATGATAGTGATGATGAGTTGCAATTAAATGATCACTTTCACCAAAAATATTGCCGATTTAATAGTGTAAATTGTGTACTTAAAGGAGATTGTTGGCAGCAAGTGCGTTTTTACGACTATTTAAAACTTTTAAAACGTTTCGACCAGCACAAATCCAAATCGCGTAGCTGTTAATGGCACATTAATGTTGCATGTGTGGGAACTCCTGCAATTAACCACAACGCAAAGAACGAACACATGCGCAACTTAAACTACTGCTATAAAATGCAACTTACTTAAATCTTAAAACGAAAGTAATTACCTAAAAGCAAAATTTTATGCATCAATAAACTATTGATGATATAAAAATGGATGGCCTATATTAACGCGTTAAAGATTTTAAAAAAACATTTCCAACGGAACAAAGCATTTGCATGCATTATGCATGCGGAGTTGTGTGCCCACAATTAGTGGGTAATTAATTTGAATGCGCGACGGATTAATACCCGACCGATTTCGACACGTAAACAACGTGAATGCCGAAGAACGAACGCGTCAAATGTCGAGTTTGTTTTTCCCGAACTTTTAACGTTGCGTTGCGCAAAGACTATAAAAATTCCTCCCATGTTATTTTCGTGATTTTAAATTCCAAATTACGTCGAACACTTACCAGTTACCAGAAGTGGTTAAGATCTGAAATTGTTTGTAGAACTTTCGATGAAATTTTAGCAGTGATTTCAAAGAAAATCTCCGAAAACAAGGTAATTTCTCACTTGAAACAATGGCGTGATGTTTGCGAAGTGGAAGTTGGGACCATTCGTTAAATTTCGGTGAATTGGACCGATGCTTAATTATATACCGTAGGACTTTTAACTTTGTGTTACGAGTGCGTAGGCTTTGCGATGAAAATATTTATGATTAACCCGCTTCGGACAAATGCGGCGAAATTTGATGCAAATTTGTTTCGATGCGCACAAACAGCCTAAAATTCGGCGAATTTCCCGCCGACAATTAAATCCCAACTCCCATCGGCTCATTCTATTTAAATCATTTCAATTTAAACTAGTTTAATGACCGAAACAATAAAACATGATTTTTTCTCATATGAATTAATTTCGCTTATTAACATGATGTCACTTTGACAATTTTGCATAAATTTATATCGTTTGCAAACATTTACTATTAATACTACTACGATTACTACGCAATTGTCAAAATATGTCGCAGAACAATTTAGTATAAATTAAACGATTCATGATAATAAATTAATAGAAATTACTACGGTATGATCATTCTAATAACAAGGTTCTAATTTAACACCGTAACATTTAAATAATTAATAATTACATTTGTTAATGATATAAATCAGCTCAAAATGTTACTCTGAGTTTTCTATCCATGTAAACAAAACCCATACAACTTTTTTTACTTACCATTTGAACTTTTTAAGTCTCGATGAATTAAAGCCACTGGGGCTTGATTGTGTAAATAATACATCCCCTTGGCGATCTGAATCGCCCAGTCCACGAGTACATCCGGTCGAATCTTCTTGCCACTTAGCACCCGATTCAGCGACCCACCCCTGCAGTACTCTAGCACCAGGCACAAATTCGGTTCCGTTAAACACACACCTTCGAGCGACACAATGTTCTCATGATTTAGCAAACAAAATAATTTAGCCTCCTTGATGACATTCTCCTTGGTCACTGATATCTCTAAGTCCGGATCCTGTCTGGCGGCCTTCACCGCCACCTCGTGGTCCTTCCACTGCCCTCGATACACTTTACCAAATCCACCCACCCCAATCACCTCCTGCAGCCGCAGCTCGCTGAAGTCCAGCTCGATGGGGTGGATATCATTGATCAGGCTGTTGTTGCCGTCGATGAGATCGTCGTAGGCGACAAAGTTGGCCGGAAAGATGCCCACCTTGTCGCCAATCTTACCCGTCCACCAGCCCTCGTCGCCGGAGATCTTCGCGTCGTCGGAGAGCACCTCCACGATCTGGCCTTTGCTGAGCGAGAGCTCGTCCTCGCCCTGTGCGGCATAGTCGTACAGGGCGGTACAGAGTGACGACGCGCCCGGATGAACCATCTCGCCATTTCGGGGTGATTCCATCGACGTGAAAGGGCTTGGGCGGATCGGCGTCGGCATCCGTGGTGTGAAAACAAACACCGCACTATTTTATTCCGAATGCATGAATTCGTCGCATGGTGCGCAGGAACCAGGTGGTCACGCCGCAACTAAAGCACAAATCGTTCACTACGCTAACCACATTGAAACCGCGTTGGATTTTATGAGGAATGTTAATCGCGGGTGCAAGACTAGAAAACACTACATGATATAGAAATCACCCGCTTACACTGCTAACACCAACACGACGCGAACTCTGCGTGCTCTGCGGCCATATTTTGATCGAATCAACAATCCGGACCAGCAGCAGCAGCAGCAGGCGCGTTCGGGAATATCTGTCAACGACGCGACCTACTTGACCGACACCAAGCTAAATATTACTATCTTAACCTATGCAACCCAAAATACATCAAACCCAACTTATTTGAATAATCACCCAAACCAATAATCTAATGAAAATTGTTTTACCAATTTATTTAGAGTGAAACCATAATTGAAACTGTCAATATACAAAAACTTTTACAAAATGATTTCCACGCAATTTTCTGTAATAATGGATACTTCGGAGGAATCAAAAGAATATTTAAATGAAGAAGTAAACTTTGAAGAAGATTCTAACACTTACACAATTACTATACATATAGGAACGATTAACGGACTGAAACCCGTCTATCCCGTTTCTGATATCCAATTATCAGTCACTCTCGGAGAGGAAATCCTATTCCAAAGTGAAAAAGTTCCCATGTCCGAGTTGATTCCAATTGAACATGATATCATTCAATCAATAGACATTGAAGATCTTGAAATGGTCAACAAATTCATTACAACCCCACTAGTATTTTCCCTGTTAGAATATCCTGTTGATATTCCAGAAGAAGTAATTCTCGAAACAGGTCAAGGTCCAAAAAGCACAGTTTGTGGAAAAGTTCTCTGGAGAAGCGAAGAAAGCATTCTAGATTTTGAAGAAGCTCTATTCGGAAAAAAGAGCGCGTTAATTAAAGACTCGCAAAAGTCCCGCCAAAAAAAGGTGCCAGTAAAACCAAACATAGATCCAGTAGAAGTAGTCAAGGATCAAAAACTTCGAAGAAATCGAAAAAAAGCAAGAAATCTAAAGATAGCGAAAAGAAAGAAAAAGAAGTACCGCAACCATCGGGTCCCCAAGTTGCGGGCAGTGTTACGGTAGACATGTCCGCCATATTTCTAGAAAACAGATCAATGATGGAAAGTTTAATACTTAAAGCACCTGCAGGTCAGCCTCTGGATGACCGAGCCAAATCAGCGTCAAACTTACCAATGGTTCAAGTTGACATTTTCCTAGATAAGCCAATTCCAAGGGGAAACATGTTTTACTACACACTAGAAACAATCTATAATCTGCCAAAAGTCATGACAAAAGGAATGAATTATCAAATGGTGATTGGCATACCAATTGGACTACAGTACAAATTAGTACCATTCGATATTTTCACATATTGCGTTGGACCTCGAGAAAAATATAGATTTAAGCAGTACTATGGAAGTACGGAATCGTCCAATTATATTATAAAGGATGATTTTGATGATGTAATGTCGATATTATGTGTAGAATTTTCTGATTTCATACCTGATGTTCCACGATTGGAATACAATCAAATTAAGGGCGAATTTGCTTCGGATGAAGATATAGAATCATTTAAAACCAAAATAAAACGTTATCATTATATCGGGGTAGAGTTGTACATGACTAACCCGGATGTTACAGGACCAATTGGAAGTAAAAGTAAAGAAGAAATTAACAAGACAAGCACAGATGCTAGTAAGAAGAGTAGTAAGAAAGGAAGCAAGCAGGGAAGTAAGAAAACTAGTAAAAAAGGAAGCAAAAGGGCAGTATTAATATAGATGTACCTGATGACAAGAAAGATGAGGAATATTTACACTTAATGGCATTTATTGATATCTGCCGTTTGTTATATCCCGGTGAACAAAAGTTAAGAGTTGCTAGTGAATTGCGCACATTTAATCTTGAAGAGTTCCAAAGTAATTGTGGAATAAGTGATTCCTACTTTCGGCCAAAACCAGCTCCAGCAACACAACCAGCAGAGGATAAAGAAAAACTAGATAATAATAAATCAACTAAAGATACTTCTCCTAAAGAGTCAAGAATGTCTAAATCATCTAAAGCTTCAAAGAAAAGTGGTAAAGGTAAAAAAGCTCAAGGCGATCTTAAGGCAAAATTACCTAAGGCACCAATACCACCACCAGCAAGCGAACCAGTCTACGATGAGCAAGGACAACCAACATTTATTATAATGGAGTTCGAGTTTCGAAATCCTATCACACCAAAACATGAAATCGAAGATTTACATTCTGAATTAGAAGAACTCATTCAAAAACTCCCGAACCAACCTCCAGAAATCCCTAGAGATTTTAAATCTAAATATCTTGCTCAAGATATTTTCCTGAATAGTATTAAAGGCTTATTTCAAAATCTAAAGCAAAACTATCTAGAATATCAAAAAAATGATGGCGGCAAAGAAAATCTATTGAGTTTTATCGAGTATCTAACAAGAAGTGACCAATATCAAGTGTACATGAACACATTGACTCAGTCAGCATCAAATTATTGTGATCTGAACAAGAAATACGATCCAGAGTGGTCCGTTGATGAATACCACGCATTTATTGGTCAAGCCTATGTAGATCTGGTAGAATTATTAAATACTACTATTAATCATATTGGATTAGCAGGCGCTGCACACCCACAAGAAGTAAAAGAAGAGAGTGATAGTGAAGGTTTATTATTCTATGCCAAAGAAGCTGCTGAGATCAACGCGTTTGGGCTAGCTCAACATTACTACCTGCAACGTATCAAGGATGACGATACCAACAGTGCTTACTGGTTAGACTACGCTATTTTCAAGTTGCAAATTGGTGAAAATGATGCGGCAGTTGAATGTGCCATAGAAGCATTGAAAAACGAACCGAATAACGCTGATTGTCTGATATTTTTCGCGTTACTTATGGCTCGAGAGGGTAAATATTCCGAAGCAGAAACATGTGTGTTAAATGTAACTCTATGCAATCCAAAATGGTTGGAGGGTTGGATGGCATTATATTGTGTCTACCTCCGAAGTAAAAACCGCGAAGGAATTGAATTATGTCTTGAAATGGCTGCAAAATATGCTAAAGCAGACAATATTCAAAATAGATTTGATGATTTAATTTGGTGTGGCGCGAAATTACCGAATACTTATACTTTCAGATCCGTAAAATACTTTATCAATCTCAGATTGTTAGATGAAGCTGAATTGATACTCGCTGATGAATTGCTTAAAAAGAACACAGACGTGATTGAATATTTACTCGCGGTTTTATCACTTATGAAAGGTAATGTTGAGCATGCCTACGATCATATAGAAGAGTCTTTTAGAATGGGCGGATGTGCGTATTGGAAAAATTTACTCAGGGGGCACATATTCATGGCCATGGACGAACTGGACTGTGCACTTGTTGAATATGAAAAAATCGTTAAATCAACCGAAGATATTGCTTACGATGGAAGTATCCATTTGGTTTATATAAGAGCAGGCTTGTGTTACAGTGCATTGGGAATGCATCAATTGGCTAGAAAGATTCTCCTCAAAGCATCCGAAAAGAAAGGTACACCATACACATGGTTGGCTACTGGTGTACTATACTATCATCAACATGATTATATGAGTGCTGAAGAGTGTTTAATGGCATCAAACACATTGGATAACATCTTGCCAGAAACTTGGGCATATTTAACGCTTGTCAATATTAAACTAGGAAGACTAAATGAAGCTACAAGTTGTTACCACCAGGCAATTGATCATAGACTGCAGAATGAAGATTTAATGAAGACTGTTGATTATGAACTTGCACAATGGGAGGAAAATTTCTTTGACTCAAAATCCTCGACACAATCGATGCCAGATGAGGAACAAAGTCAAGAGTGAAATATTATATTGTTACTTATGTCGCACAGTAGGCGATTTTTAGATTGACGCCATAGTAGCGTCTAAATCCTGTCATGTAAACAACAGATTTGTATAAATTTCAGTGACGCCGATACAGTGCTACGCTCGTCGCACTCCCTGCAGTTAATATCAATTTGCAGCAAGTGGAAACTAATGCGTTGTTTTTGACAATCGGAAAATCAATGCTACACGTACGCAAAACACTACTAGTACCTATGTGTCATTAAATGTATTGTATAAAATATCGCTTTGTAAAACAATTATTTGGTTATTATATTGGAGTATGTTCACCAGCTAATCTGGCTTAGAATTTATCAGTCAAAGATTTTTGACTCTCTCTTTATCGTCCTTACTCACCGCCTGTTGGCCCTTCTTTTCGTGACCCATGATTTTGTGCTCGTGCAATTTGTATTCGGCGATGATGTCGTTGATAGTCTTGTCGGCATCCAGAACAACGACGGGGATGGTATTGAAGCGATCATCGTTGGACATTAGCCAGCGTTCGTGTGCATCGTGCAATTGCTTCAAGTATTCCAATGAGATTCCAGACTCTTCAGAGCGGTTGCGGGCTACTGTGCGTTCGTAAGCTGTTTCAGGTGAACTTCGAAGATAAACTAAATAAAACAAAACACATAATTTCATACGAAGCTAAAACTTTGCAGAGATTTACCAATTAAATCCAAATCAATGTCAAGATATTGCCTGATCCATCGATACCACTTATCCTGAATATCATAATCAATAACATTCAGATACCCATTGTTGTAGGCTTGTTCAACAAAACAAAATCGATTATTTTGTACAGATCTCTCAAACATTTGAACAGTAGTAGAGGATTTTGTAGGTTTACTACTCTGGATTTTCACTCTGGTAAGCTGCACATAAGTTTGAAAAGTTGAGTGCCACTTTTCAATGTCTTTGTACAACAATTCAAGCAGATTGTGTCCCTGGCAGTTTCTCCACCATTCAATTGGTTCCTAAACAATTGACAATAACAAGCTAGATTGTTTAACAAATAAAAAGAACTGATTAAACTACTAACTGCATAGGTCTCAATCTCTGGAAACTGTGAGAAGTATTTGATGAAGGTGGACTTGCCGGCACCAATGTTGCCCTCAACCGACACCCTGAATGGTCTCTCTGTGGGTGTTGCAATGTTCTTCAACTGGTTGGGTATGGGTGATAATCCCACGAAATTCGAATTACGTGCCCTTATCTCGGCGTCGCCTAATTTTGTCGGCGTGATGATTGTGCGCTTGCCGCCGCTTTCGGTGGTGATGATTGCTTCCATTGTCGGTGAGACGCGCAAGAGAATTGATTTCACTGACTTAGAAAGGCAGCTGAAATTGTAACGGCTTTTGTTTTACGCGCCATAACCCCTTTGACTAGTGTTTATGTTTACAAACCTCGAGAAAAACATAACTTGAAGCTAATTCGCAGTAGATTATCTCATCTTCTGGCGTGAATCAATATATAGGATATAATCTTACCTTTGTCCGATTGTTTTACTTTTATTATGCGATATTATGAAATGCACTGCAGTTAACAACGTTCACAAATGTAAAGAACCGAAACTACTGCGCTTAACATTTAAAATAAAGAGTAGGCAACTTGTTTTACTGAAATTTGAATTCTCTTTCAAATACAAAACATAATTTAAATGTTTTTACAGAAATTATCGCTCATTTTCTTGGTTTCAGAGTATATTTAATGTTGTTTGTTTATATTAAAATCAAATTTGTGTTAAAAATTGATTACTTATTATATTTTATTTATTTGTACTAAAAAAAATCAAAAAATGCAGCAATTTCGTCCGAAATATATCCAAAACTCAAAGAATTCAAAGATTACAGCCGATTACTGTCGTCAGCAAATTAATTTACCCCCCAGCGGCACCCTTATTAAAAAACATCCATAAAGTGCGCAAATTGGGCGCATTACACAAATTAATTACCTCTCTAATCGCTCCCGTAGCCCATCTCATAACGTCTGTAATGTTCACGCACAAATTTCCGTGCAACAATTGATAAAACAGGATTTACCCGCTTTGCGTCCAACGCAGCATATTGCTTACCGTGAGACACTGAGAATGTTTCGCCTGTGTGGAAATAGTTGCGGAACGAAAAGTCGGGCGCACACTCGCACATCCTCGCTGTTCCTCCCTTATAAAAGGAGGCGGCGAATTTATCACCGGCCATTCGCCGCTGCGTTCGTTTCTAGTCGCACCTGAAGAGCAGCAAACAGCAAAAGAACACAAGATCATAAAGTGCGGGTGTATTATATTTCTATCGTTTTGGTATTTGTTTAATAATATTCAGTGATTTGTTAAAAAAAAAGTAAAGAAAAAATACAACTCCACAGTATGAATAAATTTGTTGCGCACAGTCTTCAAATGTATTGTGTTTTGATATTGTTTGTCGTCGTTTGTCATGCTGGAGGTAAGCAATAAATTAAATTTATATATTAATTAATTAATAACTTGGATATAAGTTTGTAGTTGATGTAGTTTTGCTGTTTTTCAAAAACTTTTCAGTTTTTTTATTTAAAGAAAAATTTGAACAAAAATTGCTATTTTTGTTATAGATATGAATGAACCAAAGAGATATTCAAATGACCAGGGTCTGATTGCCTTCTCGCGTCGGACGTCGAGAAGCAGCGCTGAAATTAGGTATGTAAACTGTTCCTGCAACTTTTCACAACATTGCACACAGTTTTTGAACAGGTACAAAGTTTTACAATATATAATACACTGCTTGCTACTTTTACCTTTATCTAATGTTTATGTTTACAAACCTCGAGAAAAACATAACTTGAAGCTAATTCGCAGTAGATTATCTCATCTTCTGGCGTGAATCAATATATAGGATATAATCTTACCTTTGTCCGATTGTTTTACTTTTATTATGCGATATTATGAAATGCACTGCAGTTAACAACGTTCACAAACGTAAAGAACCCAAACTACTGCGCTCAACTTTAAATAAAGTAGGCAACTTGTGATACTTCAGTTTAAATTCTCTTCCAAATCCAAAATATTTATAATTTAAATGTTTTTACAGAAATTATTGCCCTTTTGGTTGGTTTCAAATCATATTTATTGATTTTGTTTAAATCAAAACCAAATTTGTATTAAAAATATGTTACCTTATATATTTTATTTATTAGTACTTAAAAAAAATCAAAAATGCAGCAACTTCGACCGAAATATATCCAAAACTCAAATAATTTAAAGATTACAGCCGATTACTGTCGTCAGCAAATTAATTTACCCCCCAGCAGCACCCTTATTAAAAAACATCCATAAAGTGCGCAAATTGGGCGCATTACACAAATTAATTACCTCTCTAATCGCTCCCGTAGCACGTCTCATAACGTCTGTAATGTTCACGCACAAATTTCCGTGCAACAATTGATAAAACAGGATTTACCCGCTTTGCGTCCAACGCAGCATATTGCTTACGGTGAGATACTGAGAATGTTTCGCCTGTGTGGAAATAGTTGCGGAACGAAAAGTCGGGCGCACACTCGCACATCCTCGCTGTTCCTCCCTTATAAAAGGAGGCGGCGAATTTATCACCGGCCATTCGCCGCTGCGTTCGTTTCTAGTCGCACCTGAAGAGCAGCAAACAGCAAAAGAACACAAGATCATAAAGTGCGGGTGTATTATATTTCTATCGTTTTGGTATTTGTTTAATAATATTCAGTGATTTGTTAAAAAAAAGTAAAGAAAAAAAATACAACTCAACAGTATGAATAAATTTGTTGCGCACAGTCTTCAAATGTATTGTGTTTTGATATTGTTTGTCGTCGTTTGTCATGCTGGAGGTAAGCAATAAATTAAATTAATATATTAATTAATAACTTGGATATAAGTTTGTAGTTGATGTAGTTTTGCTGTTTTTTCAAAAACTTTTTCAGTTTTTTTTTATTTAAAGAAAAATTTGAACAAAAATTGCTATTTTTGTTATAGATATGAATGAACCAAAGAGATATTCAAATGACCAGGGTCTGATTGCCTTCCCTCGCGTCGGACGTCGAGAAGCAGCGCTGAAATTAGGTATGTAAACTGTTCCTGCAACTTTTTCACAACATTGCACACAGTTTTTGAACAGGTACAAAGTTTTACAATATATAATACACTGCTTGCTACTTTTTAAAAGTACTTTTGAAATAATTCAAATAAATTTTAGAACGCAGTTCTTTTCACAAACTTTTGATTTAGTTTTTTGTATTATCCATAAAGGGAAAGAAATTTCAGTAATTTATTTTATTAAACTGTTAAATCAAATTTAGATAAACTTTTATTTCTGCCGCTTCTGAGATAGTAAATTATTAAATAACATATCGAACATTTTGATATTTATTTTATTTTATATATAATTAAGGAATTCAAATTAACTTTTTGCGTGTCCCATACATTGCAGACACATTGCAACAATAGAAGTTATTTCATTTTAAATTATAACTAGTTTCCCAGGGAATAAAAAATACATTTAATAAACTGGATTGTAAATCATAGAAAACCTACACAATGAATTTTGTATAAAAGTTATTCGAGCGTTAGTAACAAAATCGAATTTAAATACTTTTGATTCTTAGCTAAACTAATTCGATTAATTAATATATCGAGCTGAAGATATTAATTTTACCCACATGCGTAATTTATAGTTAATTAAATTTGGTGCACGTTGGCGTTAAAAAAATACTGCACGCGACGGGTGGAATTCAATTATGCGTACAGCTACGTTCAGATTAAAAATTAATCTTTTAACAAATTCATTCTTTTTTAAATTTTCAATGCAAATTTATGCAACAATTCAATTTGTCATATCATATTTTATTTTATACTCATGTGAAACACTCTAAGCTAAACTAAAAGAGAATTCTTCAAATACGCGTTGAATTTTTAAATTTTATTAATAAAATATGGTTTAATTAGTCCAATTTCCCAGTGACTTTAAAGAATATATGCTAATTGTAATTAATGGGGTTAATAACGTAATGTGTAATGCAATTCTCTATTATTTCAAGATAAAGTAAACGGGTACGCCTACTTGTACTTGTATATTCGTGCTAATCCTCCCTCTGTGGTCAAGATCCAATCTAATTAATTTCATCATACATTTGTACTTGACATGGTACGAGTACGAGTATGTCCCCAAAAGATGATGATACTCGTACGTATAGGAATAAGTTGAAACTTGATGTTTGATATTTAGATGAGAATTTATTTATTTCAGTCGGTGAAATTTGCATTATCCATTTGTTTAGTTAATAAACTGTCACGGCATCAGTGAACGTGCGAATATTTGCAAAACTTTTGCGGAATTAAAGTAAAATAATTGAAGCGTGCCTAATTTTTGCGACAGTTCAAGTAAATATTATTTATAGATATCGAACCGAAAATATTTCAATATTTAAAATTGCTATTTATTTTTTAAATAAGTTTCAAATTAAAAATTGTGGTGGAAAAAATTATTGCTATATGAATTATTTATTAGAATAAATAAATAAATTAAAAAATAAATTTGCGGTAGAAGTGATTCGATTCAGGGCACCGTACGAGGCTAGGGGGAGAAGTGACTCGTGTTCAGAGCACCTTACGAGGCTAGCGGTAGAAGTGACTCGCGTTCAGGGCACCTTACAAGGCTAGCGGTAAAAGTGATTCGTGTTCAGAGTACCGTACGAGGGTAGCGGTAGAAGTGACTCGATTCAAGGCACCTTACAAGGCTAGCAGTAAAAGTGACTAGATTCAGGGCACCGTACGAGGGTAGCGGTAGAAATGACTCCCATTTAGGGTACCGCACGGAGGTAGCGGTAGAACCCTATTGATAAACTTTTGTTTTTTGTATTTATAGCAAAATTGCGCAATGAGTTGTTTGCATTTCCTCGGATCGGACGCTCACAGCCGCTAGCAATGGGCATAAAGCGGGATGGATCCACAAAGACAATGAACACGGGACTTTGGTTTGGGCCACGCCTCGGGAGGGTGCAGAAGAGAAATCTCTACGCATTCACGCCAGATCTTGAAGACTACTATAATGCTGCAGGTACGTATAGAACTTTAGTCAATATTTTTTTGCAATCAATAAGCGTGCGTGCAAGGAACATTTACAGAAGTTTAAACTTGTTTTATGTCTCGAGCTGTGTCGATGACGACACAAATTTTGATTAACGGGTTTCAGGGAAAGCAAACTTTCTCCAAGACAGAAAATTAAGTCGTCAAGTAATGTGCTTATTTACCTAAAACGCTCAATTCTAAGAAACTAAAGAAGAAACAGTTATTTTCTAACTTCAAATCTAAAACCAATCATTTCATTATTAAATTTATTTTGGCAGGTGATGTGAAACCAGTTGTCCACTACACGCCCCGCGTGGGTACAATTGGCCACGATTCCGACGAAGATCTGGACATCGGCCAGCCACTTTTAGAAGATTCCTAAAAACTGCACACCCCAACAATACACACATACACACCCTAGCAACTTAGTAATAATAATTACACAACCACACAACTCCACCCCTAGCGCAAACCTAACACTATAAATAAATGTTTAAGCGCCCCCGGCGCACTCACGTCCGCACTCGCCCACCGCTGCGTTAAAGTCCTCCCCACCTCACACCTAAGCTAACACGTAGAAATCTGTTTTATTTTTGTTTAAAAAAAATTATAATAAATGTAAAAGCACTGAGGGGGAAGGACGTGGCTGGATTAACGCGCAAGCCCTAAGATCAAGCGTGTGCGGACGTGAACACCGAGAAGCACCTCAAAAAATAAAAAAAAACACACAATTACAATTACATTTTCTGCGCGAACGCGAAGAGTTCCACTTCAATTATATATTCTATATTCGTATTTAGGATGTATATTAAATTAAAAGAGCTAATTCCCAAGCTTTGGTGGTTGCGTCTTGTTTATTTATTCCTATGGCGTGTTTTTTTCGACATTTGAGCTTTACGTGGAGGTTTCTTGCTTTTTAATTATCTGAACGAAGCGCGTCTCGCCGGCGAGATCCTCGTGGGTTGCTAGAAGTGTGAGGTCTTCGCCGCCGTCGGCGAGGAGGTCGCGTATAAGCCGCGGATGCGACAGATCGACCTCCAGGAATAAACTGCCGCTCGGATTTAAATGTCTTGATGCGAGTGTAAATATTTGCTTTACCACGTCCAGACCGTCAGCGCCGCCGTCGAGCGCTTCCACATCTTCGTATCTGCAAGAGCATCAGAGACACAGGGCAATATCAAGAAGTGAGTGCACGATATTTTTATCTCTACTATATGCAAATATTAAATGATTAAATTATTTAAATATTTCAATTTCACAAGCGTGATACAGAAATGTTTGACTACGAAATTGATTTTAAGAAAATTGTAGATATTTTATTAAAGAAAAAATGAAAAATTACTCACAGTAATATTTCCGGTTGCAAATCCTTCATATCACCAGTTAAAACGTACGGTGGATTGCTGATAATCACATCAAACATGTCATCGGAGGAAAAATCTTTGACGGCGCAATTTTCTATTTGCATTCTGTCCGTCAATGACAAAATGTGTGCGTTTTCCGCGCACAATCGACATGCATCCGGTGAAATATCAATTGTTACCGCTGATAACTACATAAACATGCATTTATTAATTTAATTATGCATGTTATTCAAGTTTTCTTACATTTTTTACGGCGTGAAGTAAAGAACAACTGATTGCTCCGCTGCCGCAACATAATTCTAATACACGTTCGACATTCCTGGTTTTAATGTCTTGCAACGCTATCTCCACCAACATTTCAGTTTCCGGCCGCGGGATGAATACCGGCGGGCGTAGTTTTAGGTTTATATCGCGGAAATCCCACTCGCCAATGATATATTGCACTGGCATTCTGAAATATTAGATATTTAGAGAAATATTTCGTCTTTTGATATTTTTAACGTAGGAATATTGTCTCATAATGTTTAAAATTAAATAAACGTTTTATAATAAATTAATTTAAATGTTTTACGTACTGTTGAAGTCGTTTTTCACACATCGCGTTGACATTCTGCACTTGCAAATCCGAAAGGACAAGTTTTCGATGTTTATAAACTTCGCCCAACTAAATTCAAACCGAATTCAAAATAAAATCTATGATTGATAATTTTTATTACAGTATAATAAATATAAATAAATATAAAGTTTAATACGTACATTATTTGTTTTTAACACACTGGCCAAAATATTCGCGATACTTTCCAAAGGTTCCGAAATTTTTCTATTCGTGAATATCTTGCACCATTTCTGCAAGGATTCCTCAACGGTGGAATTAAATTCGGCCGTCGAGAAGTACAATCCGCGCTGATTAGAATCATTCAACTCGTTGGGTTGCCTACTACGATTCGGCGAAAGCATGTGATTATGTAATCGCGGGTTTGCCGCGAATGATGAGAAAAACGAAAAGCGCGAGAGCGCTGCGAGGAAATGCGTTCGGCTCGCGTTGGTTTTGCATGCACTGCCAAGCAGCGATCGCAACATCATTCACAACTCACGGCACAATCACTATACATTAGCCAACGAACAAAACAAGGTTTGCCGGGATGCAAAATGTTTATTGCACATCTATTTTCGTGCCAGTTTTCACGGAGTCCCAACACAATTCGTAGTCGCACGGTCGCACGTTTTATTTGTTTGTGTCTAACCTATAAATAATTTTAACTAGAATCTAGTGACAATGAACTAAAAACGATGCAAAAATAAAAATGCAACTATATTTAAAATGCACTATGATTTTAGTTATTTTTATCTTCTGATCGTATAAAAATAATAAATTATTGCCTAAAACAAAAAATAAATAGTTTATTGGTCGTCAAATATTGCGGAAATATACAATATAATATTCAACTGTTTCTTAGTTAGTTAAACTAATTGTCCTACGTATAGATCTATAAAATATTCTAATAAATATAATAATTATACCACAATTTGATCTATGTGTCACTAAAATCTATTTTAAGAGGAATTTCCCATTCAATAAAGTAGATGTTGCACGAAAACACTACCGCTAAATGAAGGCGCTCATAAATAATGATTTATACGACTAGTGTTTTATGGAATATTCATCGGCATCCTGTATAAAAAGTACATTGAAACTAAGTGTGCAACTCAGTGCATGTATCACAGAACGTACGTTCGGACGCACGTAACCTCAATAGTTGGCCACTAATAAATTACATCGTTACCTTTTGTTCAGTGAGCTCCGAGAGTTTAAACGAGTGACAATTAAGATTTTTCGTTTTTTACCACCTGGTTTGTAGATTTATAGCGTTTGTAGAGCATTTCCGTCGTCCACATTAGAACGGTTGTCAATGTCACGATGTTCAACACAATGATGCATCGGCGGTAACTTCCGGTCAAGTCACGGATTACACCTTTATTCAAAAATAGTTTATTTATGTTTAAATTCAATTTAATATTTTTAATGTTTACCTATTAAGGGACCACCAGCCATAATAAAGAGTCCATTAACCACCATTTGAATACCGGAAGCGTTTGCTAATCTTTCTATTGGCACGTAATTGGGAATCACGAGTGTCCAATAAACGGTACGAATACCTTTCGCAATTCCCAAAGCAACAGCTACAAATAGAAGGTCTTCGTATGCGCTAAAGAACAACAAAGCTAAAAATAAATTAAAATTAAAATAAAACAAAATAGATGATTAATTTCCAACTTACAGAACCTAGTAGAAATCAGTAGAAGCAATGAAAATAAATACATAATCCTGGGTGGTTTGTTAAGAAAATCACCAATAAATGGCGATAGAAATCGGAAACACAAATCAGCAATGGATAAAACCGAAAGAAACATTGCGATTTGAGGTGTTGTCAACATAAAGTCCGCCATAATAAACGGAGTCAAAAGAGAGAAATTAATCTCGGCGAAAACAGCAAGAGACATTCCCAACATAATATTAACGTAGACTGGGTCTTTGAAAAGTGTTAGATCAAAAATAGTCACGATGGAAGTCATGATACGTTGGCAGAGGTTTTTCTTTTTCTTGGGGTTTTCTTTCTCGACGTGCGTGTCCGCATCATGCAGTTTACCGTTTCCGTTGGAAGCTTCTTTCAAGGAGTTAGACTCCTCACTGATGATGGGCACCTTCTCATTTGGCTCACTCAAAGATCGTTGGGCATTCAGACGGTTCATCGACTTGGAGAAGTCATCGGTAACCGACTTGAAGCTGGAGATTGATTGTTTACGTGATTTTAAACCAGCTGTGATTGGAAATTAAAAATTTAGGTTAGAAAAATGTTAAGTTAGGTTATGATAGTTTAACTGTCAAAATTAAGTTTATCTACTTATCGAAACTACTAAAGCCACTTTATGATAGAAATAGTTTGTTAATTAATAAAATAACACTTCAACTTACGACTTAGAGATAACACACTGCCGGCCAATGGAGTATCCATTCCGTAAATAGCTTGCACTTCAAGGTCGTGATCGATTGAGACCACTGATTGCGCAAAGGAACTTTGTCTGTCATAGAGCCGATGCTCCTTTTCTTTTTCGGGATTATCTAGAGTCAAAAGTTTTTCATTATGCACTGGTAAATAAAATTAAACTTTTGACAGTAACCTGTAGGTAATAAAGTGGATTTCGTCTCGTCCTGTTTGGTAGTGTTACCATTTTCCTCATCGATGGCTTCCTCAATCATGTGCCATTCAACAGGTTGTAGAAGGGTGGCGGCAATAAAGGAGTTGGCGGCAACTCCGCCAATTACCAACATAGCACCCTGCACGCCGTATAAAGAAAGCAGAAGACTGATCATCTGCGGCATCAACACAGGTCCCAATCCTGTGATGGTCATTGCGATACCGGCAGCCTTGCTCCGACGCTTCACGAAGTACAAGTTCAAGGCGTACGGGTAAGATGACATGCCCATTCCCATACCCAATGCTAATTAATTAAATAATAAAATTAATTCAAATCAAACAAATTTTAGAAGAAATATTATGTTATTTTATGCTAATAATTCTGATATAAAAGTAAAAGTTAATAATTGCTACTTGATAGTAATAGTAAATTTTTTATTGAAACAATTGTTATATCAATGACCATAGAATTATTAATAGTATTAATTCTGGAGTAAATAAAATTCTTAATCCTTAAGTTGAATTAATTGTTCAAGTTGAAGTCGCACACGCACATCGGCCTTGTCAATTCATTTATTTATACATTTACATTATGCATTATTTATAGATCGTTATTAGCACGTTATACGCATTTGTTATACGTTAATTATTAATCATTTGCATATGATATTAGTACCTAATACAACCAGTTATTATTTATCACCTTATAATGTTACTAAATTAATTCACTTTATAAATTTTAACTAATCTTAATATTTAAATAAAATGTTTCTTGAAAATTCAAATATCATAAAAGGAATGCATGGAAATCATTTTTCAATAAATGGCGTCAGAAATACTGTGCATTTTGGCTTTTATTCTTAAAATGTATTTTAAAACTCTTACCTGTAATAAAACTGTAACTGATGAGAAACCATGTAAACGAATTGGCGAAGGAGGTGAGTATCACACCCGCCGTAGTAAACACTGCACCGGCGATGGATACCTTGCGGGGGCCGAAATATTTCAGCAGTGGGCCGTTTATCAGTCCGGTCATCATACTGCACGCCGCGTTTGTGTTGATGATGACTGAGCCATCGGTTGCCGAAAAGCCCAATGCATTGAATGTGTCTTTGAATACCAGTCCGAAACTGGTCATGATTGGGACTAAAATTAGCTGAAATAATCATAAAATATTTAATAAATTTTCAATTAACAGAATCTTAACCTTAAATTTTATTAATTACAGTTTTTAGTAATGCATATGAAGAACTTAAATTATTTATATTTTCGAATGTAATTTAGAACATTTAGAACACAAAGGATTAGAAAATAATAGCCATGGTTGATTTATTAAGTAGTCAATAAAAAACTTTACGATGTTTTAAAATAAAATTACTTTTTAGTTTTGATTGGAGGTTTTTATGAAATGTTTAGTCTTCGGACTGTTAAAGTAAATATTATCGATTTTCGTTTGAATTTCGATTCGAATTAAATTATTATTCAATCGAAATTTAAAATAACTCATAAAAATACATTTTAAAAGCTTTAGAATGTCTAAACCGTTTATTTCATTAGCCTTCCGAACGATAAAACACTTTTATTAACTATTTTAATGTTTATACACTATAAAGTGACTTAATTATTTATTTAGTAACTTTTCTTGTTATTTTGCTTTTAGTTTTAAGTAATTATTGTATGCTTTTCGTAGGTTGCAATTTGGGCAATTTTAAATTCGCCAAAAGCAATTTTTATAATTTCTAGTTTAAGTGGTGTGCAAACCTTGACTTACTAAAACACTAACATGTAATAATACACTTATAATACGCACAAATTCATTTCTTTACGAGTACGAGTACATTGAAAGTAAAGTCAAAAATCATGATTTGCAATAAAATTGATGACATTTCTAATTCGTAGATTGTACAATATTTATTTTCATTATTATTATTATTATTATTATTATTATTATTACGTAAGGTTTAACTGTTTTAAGTAGAAATTAATGAAATCATGACTCAGCATATATTTACACTTGTAAATAATTACTTTTCATTACACACAAATTCAACTCGATAAAAATTCCTTGAAATACCGCGAATTATACTTACTCGTATTGTAATTCCGATTTTATAATAGTTAATTATTTATATTTACGCGTAAATCGATTTAATTCTAATTTAAAATATTATATCACAATTTGTACTACAGGTAGGTTAAAATAAGTTGTATCTTATCAGATTTATGTTATCTGTATGCTCTAATCAATCAAGATACGAGTACGTGAACAATATTATTAATTATTAATTAATTTCATATCACCAACAACAAAGTTATAGTAAACCATATTTGTTTTGTTAATTTTAAAGAATTTCGATATTTTTACTGCGCAATAATTAAATAAATAATTTATTATACTGAAACAATTCGGTTTTACAATATTTTTCGATAATTTGCAGAGAAAAACAGTTTAACAATCTAAAATAGTAAATATTCTATTTATTTTCGTCGCAAAATGCCGTTATTTCATTAAAAAACACAAATAAACACAGGAAAATTTTATTGCAATAAAACCCCCCCATTTTATTAACCCGTGCTAAGTCTCAAATACTCAAAAAATGCAAAATTCCAAGCACAATGTTCGGTTTTGACAATTTTTTAGTTTAGTTAGACGTGACTGTCAATTTCTTTGATTTGGCGAGTAAATAATCTTAAATAAAAATTATTTCACCAGTTTCCTAAATTACCCAATTTAACATGGAAAAATTATAACAATTTATACCCACTGAAGCTACATTAAAACTGTTTTTAAATACTGAAAGTGCTCTGGCATGACTGAAACTCAATTAATTTTAAGTAGCTAAAGTGAAACGCATCGCAACAAAATTATTCAACGTAATAGTAACAGTGGTAACACACTACTAAAACACTTAAATGTAGTGGTAAAGTTTAAAGTATGCACTGGTGTAATAAATTCATCTTGTATAGCATATCGCTCAACGATTCATCATCACATATATTGCGCACATTCCACTATCACATATCAGCTGCAATAACTTTAAAAACAAGTACATCACTGGTCGTAAGTTATGGATGATGTACATTTGTATAATACAGAATGCAAGCGCTAGTTTTACTGCTGACTGCTCCAGTTTACCAAATGTACCTATCTATAAACGGTATAACATAAAGTAGTTGAAAATGTTTGTGAAAAATGCGTAATGTAGTTTTTAGTGCGCTTGCCGGAATAAACGCTTCAAAATATTTGCATTTCCACATCGACACTTGCTCACCCATTCCAGCAAACATAAAAAGATTAAAAACATGGAAATAGCAGATGGACCGCTTGTTTGCTTATCGTTCGATACGGCGTGTCGACGGCGTGCTTCCGAATATAGCGACGCGTAAAACCGCGCAAAACTAACTAACTATTTGAACTTTACGAGCTGATCGTTGGTTTTATAGTTAACTATCGGTTAAAGTTTAGTGTTCTTTGAGTGTAGTTGCATGGTGAATCGGATTTAAATTATTTTTTGCCAGCATATTTTGTCGGCAGTGAAATTGAGTAAAATCAGCAAAAATTTACGATTTAAAACAATACATTTTACCCTTTACAATAAATATAAATATAAATATTTTATATTAGATCTTGAGACTTATTGATCCGTAAATATCTTTGTTTCTCATAATAACTCCACACATATTTACTTGAATTGTATTTATATGAAAATACTTCTTCAATTGTATTGATTTATTTTTGTTCGCGTGTTTAATTAATAAAATATTTATTTAAAACTTAAACAAACATTTTCCAGTTCCTAAAACTAGGTGTATTAGAAAATCCTTCAAACTTGGATGTACAAACTTTGTAGTTTAGACATTGATTAAATATATTTAAACAAATTTTTACAAATTATTTACATTGTGTTCGATTTCAACATTCGTACAAAACTATTCAATTTACTTATAAATTATTCAAAAATATTTTTTATCACAATTGTTATCATGTTTTCCTCCCCGATTTGATTTTTTGTACAATTTTCAATTAAGCGCCGGCATCAAATAAAGCGCTCATGACAAAAACAAACTGAAAACGTGTTATTCAATTTCAATTCGCGATTTAGTGTTATTAATAAAACCATCAGCGGATTATAAATCGTAATTGCTGTCGAGCGATTTGTCTACAATCGTTTTTCAAATGTGAAGCTTTTAATTCACTAATCGCCGTCAGTGTTGTAATTAAAATTGCATTTAAAACATTTCAACATGTGCACAGATTCAATTTGATTATTATATGTTAAAAATATAATTGGTGCATAATTCCTAGTGACACAATCGTGTTTTATCGTATAATTCTAGGAATGCAAACATGTTTCAAAGAAAAACAAAATAAATGTTTTTTACACTTCACGTGCTAATTTCATACATGATTTTACCTTAATCAATAATTAAGTTGCCATTCAAGTGTCGATTACGTTCTCCCTTGACGTACTCGTATAATGCAGTTGTGTACACATGATGCAATATTGAATAAGTCAATTATTTGCAAAATTTTGCAATTATCGTCATAATTATAATTATTAATCCATCATCAGAACTACATAATAATTTTGAGTATTTTCTTTAAAATGTATTCACATTTTAACACAAATTAATATTTAGTGTATTCATCAAAAGCTATAATTTTTGTCACAAAATATATACTTAATTAACGAACTTAATAGATGATTACCAATAAATTATTACGTGTAAATACGTATAAATACAGTAGTAAACACTTGCAATTAATAAATATATTCAGGATATTCCACGTGGTTTTACCCTAATACAAATACATAGATAATCTTTATCTAAACCATTTTGAACGTATCATTCTCTAATGCACTACAAAACAGATAATCACCGATGATTCAATACAGGTAAGTCCAACGTGAATTATCACGATGAACTTGCAATTAAATTCGTATTCGCATTATATAAATGTTATGACGTTGACGATATCGACGTTAAACAGATAACATCACAAGTCAGTCAACAAGTCAACCCTGCTTTATTTACGATTTTTGCTTCGCGGAAAACTAAAAATAAGCAATTAACAGTATCTTACTATACATTGGTCTCATCACAATACTGTTGTGCCCAGTATATTTGTTTTGTTTGATGGTTTTCAATCATTTCAATGCAACCGCCTCAAGGTTGGCTGCATATCAACATCTGTCTTATGACACTTGTGATTAATTTGTTTCATTAAAACGCATCGTTTTGGAATGAAAAAAAATTGAGGGACAAAAATAGTAATTTAAAACAAACTAGTAGTCAAATTTAATGATGCAATTGTGCATTCCATCTTTGAATACTTGAATACACGAGAACTTTGGTTGTAATAACATTTAAACGTGCGAAATAGAATTATTTTTGAAAACAAAAGTATAAAACTTTGTCTATTGGGTGTAGTTATTAGGTTATGTATTTTAGGTTAAAAAAATGTCATTTTGACATTGACCTAACCACAAAACTCAGCTACTCTGTGACCACTACATTACAACATGGCTTCTTTAAAGAATAATTTATCGTAAAATACGAATTTAAATAAGAATTTGCTAGGAATTCAATAGCAATGATTAAAATTGAGGTTAAAGGTTACTCTTTTACTTCTACAAGATATATACATATAGAATATATAGTTTATTCTAAAATGTTATATTGTTTTAGTTTGTTTTACTTGTAGTTAGCATGTGAACCTTCATTATTCAGACGCCGACGAGTACCTGCTGATAAGCAAACATAATGTTATTGCAACCGATTATCCTCACACGCTTTGTATGTGACTAGTGACATATAAGTAGAAATACATACATACTCAACATTCCGATTACACAATTTTGCTCAATGCGCTCAGTTTTTTTGGAAATTTTGTTTGAGAAATTGCAATATTTTTAGAAGTCCTTGAATGAAGGACATCTGACTATTTTGTATTAGGTATATTGTGTTTTTACTCATGTCGCATAAGAACATCTTGCATATTAATGCGCCAGTTTTACTTTGAAATAAATAAAACCCAAAGAATTACTAAGAATAATTGTCCAGCAGGGAAAATCCAGCCGCATCATAAGATCTTTTCACTTGTAAACAAAGACATTAAAATACACGACTGTATAAATACATACAAATGATAATAAAATGTCCAATGTTTTGTGTAAACAAAAATATTATATCATTTTATAGACATTTGTGTTATTTAGTTGATAACGACTTCTTTTTTAATCATTTTTTTCCTTATACAAGTGCGTGAAATATTTGTTTTACTAAAGTTGAGACATTGCTACAACAATTTGATTACATTATTAGTGGGATTTTGACATCACGCATATTTCTTGTATTCTGAGAAGTTGGAACACGCGCTTTGCAATTACATGATTTAATTATGCGTGCGAGCAATGATTGTTATTAACGTCGCGGTCGGCGTGAGGCGTTTTGTAACATTTTGATAATTGCCCGCGATTTAATGAGCCAATCGGGCAACAAGCTATCATATGTTCGTTGCACTTGGATGGCGATAGTCGTCGGTCGCCGTTAATTAGGCGCTCTAACTCTAAGGTACATGAACTTTAATTGCGATAGTTTTCTACAATCAATAAAAACAACAACAACACATTTGTCAATGTATGACATATAATTAAGTACCTAATATAAATTAGTTTTAGTAACTTTTTACTAAAAGTACCATCGTTATTCTTACTTTTATTTGTACTAATTTATAATAAATTATAATAAGCGTAGAAATTTTCTTTTAATTGAAATTAATTTAATGTTTTTTTCTTAATTTTTATATGTAACGTCATTCTCAGAACACTCACCCGAATTTACTCTAATTAAAAGGAACATATGAAGGTTGATAAAACCACAATATACTTGCAAAAGTATAAGTATGTAAGTTGTAACAATGTCTAAAATGCGTGTTGATATCTTGATGGCCTAAAATCCATCTACACGCTTACTCAATTGTTCCAAGTTTACGCAATTCGAACCAAATTATAAGTTGCACATTGTATTATCATATTTTTTCAACACACACGCCAACATCCGATTGTAATGTTTTGATTTCATTTCGTTTCGATTCATTTTACCACAAGGTGAATTATTGGTTTTAAAATTGCCAATTTTTCAACCCAAATTTTTATTAATAAATTTTAATAATAAGTTTACGATGAACCTTAACTTGAAACAGTAGCTTTTCCGCCTTTCCTTCCTCAAGTTCTCGTTCTTGAGACTAACCTTCTCATCTATCAAAGCTTCCAATAAAGATTACCTAATTAAATTGACAAGAAGGCCAAGGAAAATCAAATCAAGTCTGACTCGAAATGAAGAAGTAAAGAATGTAGTACAATGCAAATATTAATAACAAATAATAGCGGGCAATAAAATAACAATCTGCCGAATGCAACCTTCGAACAAAAAAATTTCAGCCTGTTTTTATGGTTATTAATTCACGTGCTTGAGCGCAACGGTGAAAGAACAACGACTTCACCGCAACAAATCGTTTCGTTTTTTACAATTACTTTTACTTTAGTTTTAAAATTAGGTCACCGTGAAGATCACTACTGTGATTAATTAATCATTATTTAAGGATAAGCTTCATTCATACGAAACATTTTATTTATTTAAATCTAGTTATTGTCCGCGATTTTGCCCGCGCAAATTCTCAATCTTAATTCAAAATCTTTCCCAGCGCCATCATTATTTCAATTATCTTCTGATTGAATCTTTAAACTTTAAGGGCTTATTTTACAAGCTTTAAATTATATTTTTGCGACAATAACTAGCTTATGACATTTCCGGAAGTCAAAACTATCTCTGTAGCAAGATTGATTAAAATTAGATCAATAGTTTTTACGTGAGAGCGTCACAAACATACAAACGTAACATTCGCATTTGTTTTGCGTAAAGTATATGTTGAAATAAAACTGACCTTCAAAGAAAATAGAAACAAATGCAACCAATTTAATTGTTCTCACAATAATTAATTTCCGTCATTACATTTGTGGATATTAAAAAATTGTTGTAATATTTTAAGCCCCGCTCCTTTAATTACTGCGCATGTGCAATGAAATATACCAACGATCGGCATAATAATATGTTATTATACAAAGCAGCACTCCAAACCCTATAATTTTTGATGCAGATAAGTTAATAATAACTTTGTTTAAATATTTATTATTACTAAAGTTATAAATGTAGTAAAAGTCTATATAATATTCCGTAAACTCTCATTTGTTATATACAATACGGGGTAGAAAAAGGTAATAAATTGATGAAAGAGAATATACAGCGTGAATCATTTCGTGTTCACATTATTTTCTTGGTTTACTTCGTTGACTTCGACAGTCTCAACACGTTTTAATCTTAAACGTGATGTGCAGAGAAACTCTGCCGTCCACAGCACGATGCAAAAGAGCGACAACACTGACGCCACATGCAATGTGTAGATGTATGACTCACTTATATCATGAGTCCAACCTGCAATAACCAAATCCACAATGACATTTATTTATAACAGTTTTCTTGACCTACCAATTAAAGGACCAATGATTAAAGACAAAATTCCATTGGAAACCATTGATAAACCTGTTGCAGCCGCGAGTTTCTCTCTGCTGACAAACTTTGGTATGATAACGGATTGAAACACAGCCTTCATTCCCTTGGCCAGACCCAAAATGGCCGACACAGTAAAGACTAAGGACGGTTGTTCGTAAAAGACACTTAATACTGTAGTTTAAAAGACAAAGCAAATTAAAACAATTAATCATCAAATAAGTCAAATGTTTGACTTACTAGTTCTACCAAAACATGATAAAGTTAATGAAAGCAGGTACATAATTTTAGGTGGCACATCCTGACGATATGCAATGAAGGGAATTGCCAGCCGACCAATTATATCGGCAAATGCCTGCACGCTCATTGCGTTCGCGGTGTTGTCCTGATTGAAGTGCGACAGCTCGCGCAGAATGAACGGCATCATTAGGATCACGTTTAATTCCGATGCGAACGAGACGCCCATGCCGATGACGATGATCACGTATACACGATCGCCAAACAAACCTAAATCCAGCATTCTAGCAAACTCGCTGATCCGGCTGCGCTTGTTCTTCGTCACGCGGTACGTTGTTTCCTGATAGACAGGCGACAACAACCTCTCGGACACGTGCTGCTAAAAAACACACATTTTTTTGCAATTGCATAAAAATTCCAGCAAATAATAGCATAATAAACAACAAACAGCAATCAATAGAACATAAAACTGATAAATTATTGATTTAAAAATGCATAATCGTTTATCTATTATTATCTAATTTGATATTTAATCGTAATTAAAGTGTAATTATGTTAAGTTTGTTTCTAATATAATAAATAATTTGAAGCGAACCAAATTACCAACTTACAAATGCCGCATCGTAGTTAGGCAATCACCACAACACCAATAATGTTAAAAATCAAGCAAATCAAAACAAACATAAACCAAAACTTACTGTATCATCTGTCTTCTCATTCGTTGACTTAGACTTCTTCTTTCCCATAGGACGTAATAAAATAGTGAGTGGAAGAGCATTGAAAGAAATAGCAGCCAAAATCAACACAGCCCCGTGAACACCGTAGTTTTTTACCAGCCAGTCACAAACCTGTGGCATGAAAATTTGTGACAAACTAGCACCAGTGACTTGCAGACTGATGGCCAACGTCAGACGTTTCTTGAAATACGAATTCACCGCGATGTACATTCCAGGCATCAAGATGCCTTGTCCAGTGCCTAGAATAAAAATGTATTTGTTAACTATCTTATTAAACAAACATACAGATCATATCATATAACTTTACACTGTTATTACATACCTTGTTACATACCTATTAAAATGCCAATGGTGAATAGCAGCGCTTCATAACTTTTTGAAAAAGCTGTTAAGAATGTCCCCAAACACATGAGAAAACTTCCAAGGAACGAAACCTGACGATAATCGAAACGTTTCAAGAGTGGACCGCTTATGATACCTAAGAAATTATATTTAATATTATATTATGCTATTAATGTTGTCAGAACTTAGCTGTTTTGCTATTCAATAAAATACCTTTGAAACCACAACTTTATATATGCATAACCTAAGCAAATTGAATTAAAATAAAATTAGAATAAAACTTCTCACCTAATGCACACATTATAAAATTGTACAAATGTAGCAAAAACGAAACTTTTGCTCCAGTTAACCCCAACACATCATATTGGCTGTGATAAATAATTCCAAAACATTGTGTCAAGTTTAGTAGACATGACTGCAACAAACAAAGGCATAATCTTTGTTAATTCATACACAGTAAAAACAAGTTTATAATAAGTACTTACATTAATAACAACAAATGCAATAACAATGATCCAGCCATAGCCACCATCCGGTGGCACAAAACCATCCTGATTCCATTCCATGATGTGTAAAACAGAATGTATAAAGTGAGTATATATCAACACATCACATACTCATCAAGTTATTATCACTGAAACAATAAAATTAGATAAGAGTGTACCCACTACCTCACTCACTTTTATTTACAAATCCAAAGGCTAACAGTGCAATAAATTATGAACACAACCTAGTACTTTACTTGTGTAGCTTCTATGTCTATAATATTACTCATACTTAATACTCCACCTTCAAATTAGTACAAAATGGAATATTGACTGCTTATCATAACTGAGTGCACTTATACAGTCTGTAGGAGTAATTGAGAGGCAGTCAGTATTTTTAAAGCAAATGTATAAAAATATTCATCTAAAGATGGCTTACGCGGATGTGGCTGTTGCAAAAACTGCTGATTAAACATTTAGGGACCATTGAAACCGCACAGGATGTCATTGCACGAGTGAGATTTGAGTTTACACGTTTTAAGTTAAAAAGTACAATAGTTAAAGAAAATGCGAACGTGACAAACACTCGATCTAAACGGTTATGTACGTTTGGTGTGCATATGTCGCTGCTTGCACCTTGCAATAGTGCAGACGAAATGAGGCGGTGTATGCGATAAGTGATCATATGATATTTTGTAAATATTGAAGAAACTCAGGGACACTTCTCGGAGTTGTTTATGAAGTTGCAACTTGAATTCAGTACATCCACTGTATGCAACCCAGTGATCAATATGCCTACTTTTAAAAGCGGTAAAAGCGTAAATCAAAATTTCCTTTTGATTTTAATGGATATATCATTGGAAAAATACAAGTAAGAAGAAAAAGTAGGGGCATTTAGTAAAATTTTTTATAATATTTTAAATGCTAAAGTATTTTATATTTCGAAAAGTTTAATGCATTGTCTCGTTCCTGATTTCTAAGTAAATGAAGAGAAAATGTTGATTATCTTCAATTACAATATTATCAACTGTATTGTTTGCTCTGAAGGAATCATCAGGAATTCTCCCCCATTCAGTTGGATATTCGGGTAAAATGTAGAGCTGCCAGGCAACTCTCTCGTCATAATCGTTTGTCAGTCCTCCAATACTCAATACAACTTTGCCCTTTGCAGAATCGAGTGTTTCAAATCCAAAATGTTCTTCATCGAACCAGGATTGTAGTCTCATAGTATCATAGAAGGTGAAGTCATATCCTAATCTTATAGTCAGATTAGTAGTATGGAATGGCTCGGCTGTACCCGACAGTGTAGAATAGCTAATGTGTGCTGGAATGAACAATTACTATGTTTATTAAATACTTTTATACAAATCTTTTTACTTACCATAATCTGAGGCAGCAAGGCCCGCGATCGATGCAACAATAAGGCACAGGAATACTTTCATCTTGAATTGTTAGGGAGAGTATGATTTGAAAACAGATTTTGCGCGCCTTAAATATACCTATGTACTATCTATGTAATCGTCTAAAAATTCATCTGATAACAATCTCATTACCCATACTGACATTGTATTTCTTCAAGTGTACTTCAAAATTTGAATCTTGAGAGAAAAGGGGTTTATCAAGATTGATTTGGAAAGACCCAATAAATTTGAGTAATTTCTATGTGAAGTATGACTAATATCTAATGCAGATTCTCATTCTGAGTCATAAACTTTTTAGTTTATAACATTTCAATGTTGTTCAGAGTATTTTTGTTATCAGGTTCAAATTAATATATTTTGTTTATTTATTATGAATTGAACCCACTTAATTTTAATATTTCAATTGTTAATATTGGTAACATCAATGCTCTAAAATTTTTATAATAATTAAAATTCATAACGATAAATTGTTATTCTAACTCTTGAAGTAGCATTTCTAGTCAGACAGACATACTTGAAATCTTCACGCATAAGTCAGGTGGATATTCCCAATTATCATGGAAAAATCTGCCTTTCAAGATTCAAACAACATTAAAATACAATTGAGAGTATTTGATGGTGTTCTTATCAGTTGATTTTTTACGCAATGACATTGATGTGTTTGATATAAAAAGCCTGCAAAAGTTTTTCAAATCATACTCTCACTAACAGTTCAAGATGAAAGTGTTCCTGTGTCTTCTTGTTGCGTCGATCGCTGGGCTTGTTGCCTGCAATGATGGTAAGTAAAAACAGTTTTATAAAAATATTTACTAAACATAGTAATTGTTTATTACAGCACATATTAGCTACACTACACTGTCGGGTACGGCCGATCCAGTCCATACTGTCAATTGGACCATAGGATTAGGAGCTGGTACCACCTTCCATGATGTCATGAAAACACAAGCCTGGTTCGATGAAGAAAATTTTGAATTTGAAACAATTGATTCTGATTACGGCAAAGTGGTAACCAGTATTGGAGGACTAGCCAACGATTATAACGAGAAAGTTGCCTGGCAGCTCTTCATTTTGCCTGAATATCCAACTGAATGGGGAACCATTCCCGATGATTCTCTCAGAGCAAACAAAGCAGTCGATAAAATTGAAATTGAAGATAACCAACACTTCCTCTTCATTTACTTGGAATATAAGGAGAAGTAAATTTTGATTCAATAGTTTTGAAATGTTGAAATATGTTATTTTAAGAATAAAATTTTACTGAATGTAGTTTTCTTAAATTCTTATAATACACAAAGATTTAAAACAAATTGCAATTACTCATAAATTTCCTTAGATAAATTATCATATCCAGTCGAGTTTGCTATTTCCTGTGCTTCCATATACTTCATATATAAACATGCGCTTCTATTGGCTCTTCTTTGACATTTATCTTCTTGCTGATGCTGTTTGTAACAATTTTCTGCTTCGTTTAGAACGTCAATTGGTAGATTTGAATGAAGCCGCAAGGAATTCTTATTAAATTCGTCGTTTTCTGTGTATATTTTGTAAACATCCGAAGCGCAGCTCATGAGACATGCGTGGTTTTTGACTTTTTTGAAGGATTCCTCTGACATTTCAAGCATTTCCATTCCTTTTTTATCTATGGGATACTTTTTAGCACATTCAGAATAATAATCTTCTTCATAATCAGTAATCTCTTTTATAAAACACTGTAAGAATTTGTAAGAAAATTCGCAAGTTGAAGGTGATTGTGAATTTTGCATGCATTGTGTTGCAATGGGTCGATATAATGCGTTCATTCTTGTCATTTTTACATTGTTACCTGTGTCGTCTAATAAATATACCGCTTTCAGAACACACTCATCTACTTCGCAAGTCATTTTTTCACCAAGTGTTTTATAACAATCTTCTTGAGCTTCAAAAATTTCATCTAGCGTATCACGAAATACATTGCCAATCTAAAATGTTAAGTAAATTAGGAAAAGGTTGAGATTTATTTCGGAAAACTTACAGTAAATAATACTTGAGCAAATAAAATTACTGTGAAAGTAAAATTCATCTCGCTGAATCTAAATTTAAATCAAAAGTGATAACTGGCTATAAATCATAATTGCCTTTTGATTTAATTTATTTTATTGGAAAAATACAAGCAACAAGAAAAAATAAATGCATTTAGTAAAATTTTTATAATATTTTAATCTAGAAGTATTTTATATTTCGAAAATGTTTAACGCATTGTCTCGTTCCTGATTTCCATGTAAATGAAAAGAAAATGTTGATTATCTTCAATTACAATATTATCGACTGTTTTGTTGGCTCTGAAAGAATCATCGGGTATTCTCCCCCATTCAGTTGGATATTCGGGTAAAATGTAGAGCTGCCAGGCGACTCCCTCGTCATAATCGTTTGCCAATCCTCCAATACTCAATACAACTTTGCCCTCTGCAGAATCGAGTGTTTTAAATTCAAAATCGTCATCGAAAACGGCTTGTAGTCTCATGGTATCATAGAAGGTAAAATTGTATCCTAATGCCATAGTCATATTAGCAGTATGGAATGGGTCGGCTGTACCCGACAGTGTAGAATAGCTAATGTGTGCTGTAACGAACAATTACTATGTTTATTAAACACTTTAATAAATCTTTTATTAAATCTTTTATATTTACCATCATTGGAGGCAGCAAGGCCCGCGATCGACGCAACAAAAAGGCACAGGAATACTTTCATCTTAAATTGTTAGTGAGAGTATGATTGGAAAACATGTTTTGCGCGCCTTAAACATACCTACTATCTATGCAATCGTCTAAAAATTCAACTGATAACAATCTTATTACACATACTGTCATTGTATTTCTTCAAGTGTACTTCAAAATTTGAAATGAAAAGCAAAGGTTTATCAAAATTGATTTGGAAAGACCCAATAAATTTGAGTATTTTCTATGTGAAGTATGACTAATATCTAATGCAGATTCTTATTCTAAGTTTAAAAAGTTTATAACATTTTGATGTTGTTCTGAGTATTTGAGAGCTATTTTTGTTAACAGGTTCAAATTTATTTATTTTGTTTGTTGCGCCTCGCCGCATTCAAGTGTACCACTTGTCATTTTTAATATTGTTAACATTAATGTTCTAAAAACTTTATTAAAATTAAAATTCATAATTAAATAAATTGTTATTCTAACTCTTGAAGTAGCATTACTATTATAGACACACATACTTGAAATTTCCACGTATAAGTCAGGTGAATATTCCCAAATTATTTTGGAAAATTTGACCTTTCAAGATTTAAACTATAGATACATTAACATACAATTGAGAGTTTTTGAAGGTTTACTTATCAGTTGATTTATCTTATCGTTTGATATAAAAGCCTGCAAATTTTTGTTTCAAATCATACTCTCACTAATAATTCAAGATGAAAGTATTCCTCTGCCTTCTTGTTGCGTCGATCGCGGGCCTTGCTGCCTCCAATGATGATGTTGGTAAGTAAAAAAAAAAAACAATTTTATAAAAGTATTTAGTAAACACAGTAATTGTTCATTACAGCACATATTAGCTACACTACACTGTCGGGTACAGCCGATCCAGTCCACTCAGTCAATTGGACTGTGGGTTTAAGACATGAAACCACCTTTCATTATATCATGAAAGCACAAGCCTGGTTCGATGAAGAAAATTTTGGATTTGAAACAATTGATTCTGATTACGGTAAAGTTGTAACCAGTATTGGAAGACTGGCCAACGATTATAACGAAAAAGTTGCATGGCAGCTCTTCATTTTGCCTGAATATCCAACCGAATGGGGGACCATTCCCGATGATTCCTTCAGAGCAAACAAAGCAGTCGATAACATTTTAATTGAAGATAACCAACACTTTCTCTTCATTTACTTGGAATATAAGGAGAAGTAAATTTTGATTCAATAGTTTTGAAATGTTGAAATATGTCATTTTAAGATTAAAATTTTACTGAATGTAAGTTAATTAAATTCTTATAATACACAAAGATTCAAAACAATTTGCAATTACTCATAAATTTCCTCAGATAAATTATCATATCCAGTCGAGTTTGCTTTTTCCTGCGCAGCCATATACTTCATATATAAACAGGCGGTTCTATTAGCTCTTCTTTGACATTTATCTTCTTGCTGATGCTGTTTGTAACAATTTTCTGCTTCGTTTAGAACGTCAATTGGTAGATTTGAATGAAGCCGCAAGGAATTCTTATTAAATTCGTCGTTTTCTGTGTATATTTTGTGAACATCCGAAGCGCAGCTCATGAGACATGCGTGGTTTTTGACTTTCTTGAAGGATTCCTCTGACATTTCAAGCATTTCCATTTCTTTTTTATCTATAGGATACCTTTTGGCGCATTCAGAATAATAATCTTCTTCATAATCAGTAATCCATTTTATAAAACACTGTAAGAATTTGTAAGAAAATTCACAGGTTGAAGGTGATTGTGAATTTTGCATGCATTGTGTTGCAATGGGTCGATATAATGCGTTCATTCTTGTCATTTTTACATTGTTACCTGTGCCGTCTAATAGATATACCGCTTTCAGAACACACTCATCTACTTCGCAAGTCATTTCTTCACCAAGTGTTTTATAACAATCTTCTTGAACTTCAAAAATTTCATCGAGCGTATCACGAAATACATTGCCAAACTAAAATGTTAAATTAATCAAGATTTTGGAAGTTAATTGAGAAAACTTACTGCAAATAATACTCGGGTAAATAAAATTACTATGAAAATAAGATTCATCTTGTTGAATCTAAATTTACATCAAAAGTGATAACTTGCAATAGAATAATATAAATTTATTTAGTTTATGGTGTGTTAATAATTGGCCATTTCCGATATATTTTAATTAATTGTACTTCTATGTAGGAAGTATATAATTAAAGGACGTTGTTGATCGATTCACTGATTATTATTATATATTTACTACAATTTGTGCAGTTTGACCATGGATTTCAGTTCAAAATAGATCATAAATAAAAGATGCTGATTTTATCCATATCGTTGGCATGTATTTGAGTGAGATTTTAATGAGAACTTCTTTAGGCACGTTTAAGAAAACATAATGTTTTTGCCGCTAAAATATATCTTAAAATGGATCATCCCTATCAAAATTAAAAAGTTCCCTAATTAAAATACAACGTCAAATATTGGTTTAAGTATAAATCAATATACGAATACTTACCAAGAAAATATTTGTCAATTCTAAAGTCTGGTTGCACTGGTGAGACAACTATTACTATATTTATATTATAGTAATATTTATTATCCTGTGTCTAGGTGTATATTGTAAAAGTAATGTGTAAAGATCACAAAATTACCTAATAATACTACAATTTGACCATCATAAGTTACTTAAGAAGATAATTATAAATCTCAATAAAATTTAACATTAACGATTGGCTAACAGTTTAATCCTTAAAACGAAATACGAGAATAATCTTATTACCATAAAAAATCCTAGTAGAGCCACCACGTCTATCACATAGGTGTGTATGTCGCCCGTCATGGACATTTGGGTAAGGAACGTTTGTGGATACTTGTAATGACAGTACATGTTATTACACTCCAGCTTTTCGCGAGCCATACCGTAGACGGCGATCATGCATCCTTCAAAACTATATCGAACGTAAGACACGTACGACAACCAACTTAAATATTTGGGTAAATCGTTGAGATTAGCAAAAAATCCAGAGAACAGAACCATTGGTATGATTGATATAGGTCCCAAAAATACACCACCCTACAAAACACACAGTTTTACACAGGTTTTAATCAGGTGACAACGAAGGCGTACGCAGCGTTGCATTTTCTTTGGTAATATCATTGGTGATGCGATGATTTTCGCTAAATGTTTTGTCCGCATACATGTCGCAGCGTCCTGAATTGACGGCAATAACCAATTTCTGAATGTAATCCCATGCCTCGCCACAAGCTACTTCCAGAATGTAATCCGCGGGATTGTGGTAACTGGGACAGTACAAGCCCATACCGGAAAGAAATGGCACCAAACCAGTTACAACTCCGCGATATAAACACTGTCCTTCTCCTAGCATATAAAGCTGATCGAACATCTCAAAAAGCCGAGCTGATGGTTGATGAATTGTGCAAATAATAGTTCTGCCACCACGTGCTAAACTTTTTAGCAAACTAATGCATTGAAAGCACGAACTACTGTCTAATCCACTCGTGGGCTCATCGAAAAACATGACCGGTGGATTGTTAACTAATTCCAGTGCTATTGATAACCGTTTCCGTTGCCCACCTGATAGAGTCATTGTGCTCGTGTCTTTGCAGTCTTGTAATCCCAATGTTTCCATTATTTCGTTTATTATTACTTTCTTTTCACTCTTGGATATATTCTTTCCTAATTTTAAGTTGGCAGACACGTTGAGTGCCTCTTTGACGGTGAGATGTGGTGTCAAACAGTCGTCTTGCATTATGTAGCAGGACATTTTTCGAAATTTGCGTAAATTTCGTTCTCGGCCATTAATTAACACAGAACCAGTTAAATTCGACGTTCTAAAACAATATATTATTATATAATCTATATATAAACTTATAAATATAAACTACGCACTTGTATCCAGCCAAAATATTCATTAAAGTTGATTTTCCAGCACCTGAAGGACCCATGATTGCAGTGAGTTCTCCGCTTTTAAAATTTCCATGGACTCCTTTCAATAAAGTTTTGTATCCACGTTTCCTGCCTTCTGATACAGAGTACGACAAATCGGAGAATGTGATTTCTACAGGTGGCCTGCGTGGTAAATGAGTTAAGGAAATCATCGGTTTCCTATGGCTATTCGGACTACTATTAGGTATTTTCTTCAACGTCGATGAAATCTGTATTTTTGTGGCACCATTGCAGAGATGACCAGAATCACCATCACTATTGGAAAGTAATTTTTTGATTTGATAAAATCAGAAATGTAAATATTAAAACTTACCCCTGCATTGCGTTGTTTAGAGATTCATTTTTAGGTGAACTTTTGTATGAAACCGATTCATCTATGTTAACAGCCACAGTTCCAGTATCGCCTGACATTCCGTCCTCTTTGTGTTTTACCTCAGCCATTTTGAAAATCTGGAAAAAAGTTGTAATATATTTAGAGAGTTCCATGGATGCTATGCCTACTGAAATTAAAAAGTGATCGCTCTGAGCTATTTAAATAGTTACACTAACAACAATGTTCGTGTATCTAAAGTCCATATACATTCTTCAAGTACAAATAGACACTTGTTGGAGGAGTATTTCCCATATCTCGACAGTTTTCAGATTGGATTAGAATCACTCGAAACTCGTATTGTTAGAAGCAGGTGTTTCCTGGTAGTGTTTTTATTGTAATTGTAATTGTAATCAAATATCGAGCAAGTGTTTGGTAATTAAATATTAGAATAATACGTATATGTAAATGTCACCACATTTGAAATTATGGTTTGTTATTTAGTAATTATTAATAATTACCTACTTATTTTTAATATTACCAATAATTATTTTTTTTAGTTTTAGCATAGTTCCAAGTTCAAAATATTATTAACTTGGTAATAATTTTAATTGTTTGAACAATATTTCCCTATTTTTCAAGAAAAATAGGTCAAACCGCAGAATTTCAAATAAATTTTATATTAGTTTTGGTATAGTTACTACCAGTAGAAAATGTCACATTGCGTTATTAATCTACGTGCTGTATGAATTGCTGCAACCAATGAAATCGATTTGAATTTGATCACGAAACAAGCGTAAAAGTAGATCGAAACTTAAATGTTTATAAGTTACCATGGTTTACTATCGATTAAAACCGTTTTAGATAAGTACAATTTCAATTCGACTTGTAAACACGGTGATTATTATTCCGCACGGATCTGAGATCATCATTTTTCACATTAAATCACCTTTGAAAGAACTTTAATGCTAAAAGTTCAGTGTCATTCTTAACACAAAATCTTCAACAGAATTTCAATTATAATCAAGTAGAATTACAACAGCTCGAATTTTAGGGAAGATAAATAAACAAATAAATTTTACCTGAGCTAGTAGAAAATAATAAAAGTCCAGAACCTTTCCTTAATTAAAAAATAAATAATTAAGGTTAATTATTTATCGATAATAGAACAATTGATATCAAATTCCTATCGATTGGGGCATATAGGTCATCCCAAACAATCAACAAAACGGCGAGTTTCTTAACAGTTGCACTAATATGTATCTACACTCGACTTGTTCGTACGAAGCGCGAATTACAACACAATTTTTTGCAAAGTGCGATGTACTGAATCAAACTCTCTCAACAGAACTAAATTGCCTGAGCATGCCCGGGTCATTCGCATCACCTAAAACCAACTCGACCTTAGGTACTACAAATATTAATAATATTAAGTGACAAAGAACACCGAATCAATCATATACATTTAATGGTGCGGTTTAATGTTTCCATGATGTAAGTTGATACGGCACGACCGCACTATGTACTCGAAGATGTACTTTGCTATATCAATGAGTAATAACTATACAATGTAAAACCTCAGTTTATGCCAAATAATGCAATTAGAAAGTAAATGTGTTTTTTAATCGTAATTAAACATGAAAACGTTTGCATTGATAAGATAAATAAAATAATTGTGTCGCACAATTACTTATTGAAACAAAAACATATAAACAATGCGTAGGAAACTCGCCGGTGTTGCGACACAACAAAATGGCACATGTGATTAAATGTAATTTTAATAAAAATGGGAGATAGCTAATGATAGTCATTATATTTGTTTTGGCCTGGAAAAAGTCGTTTTGTTTTAATATTTTTAAGTTCTGTACAAAAGTCAAACTTACTCTACTTAACCAAAATTGTGTACTCGTACTTTGTAACACTGTTTCATACACGTGAAGATAATATGGCCTTCATATTTCCATGTTGAATATCATTATTACCACTAATTATTTTGCATGATTTCGAATTATTCTAAGAGACGAAATTATACATTTTCAAATTGCCTAAACAAATTTCCATTAAATATCATAATGATGTTGTTGTCGTTTTTAATAAATACTAAATTAAATACTTAAAAAGGTTAGAAATAGAATTTTGGAACGAAAATTAAATGATTTGTTCTCACTATGCTACTGAAGGGCAAAGAAAGTCATCAAAAAATGATTTCTCTCACCAAATAACTTTATGGCACATGTAATAAAAATAAAACAAATATTACAAAGCACGGGATATTTTCGACACAAGTAGAAATACGAGTATAAACCGTAGGTACCTACTAGCGGAACAGAAGCCTGGCAGAGTATTAACACATCAATAATTTAACTTATAATTAAGAAAAGTATACAGCACTGTGTAAACTCTGAATGCATCGCGTGCATTGTGAAGTATAAAAGAACGCAGTGCCCTTTGGTGGTAACAAATGCAACGCGATTATTAATATTTAATTGTGTTCCTCTGATTTTTAAAAACGCACGAAATTGTAGCGTAAAACATAAAAAAATTCCAACAATTCTAATTTCACTTCCAAATCAAATTTCAAAACACACATAACTAATTAGAATAACACCGTATAACTTATTTTTTATTTTTTTAAACAAGTGTTACTCATGATAACAAACTAAAAAAATATTTGTTGCTGCATATGAATAAAAATTATCGTGCCAATGAAATTCGTAACCAATCCTGAACGCTGAAAGCACGGTCAAGCAAGATAACGATTGGCTGAGATTATCAAGTGTGTGCTCAAGTGGGTACTTAGAAGCTCTTAAAACTATGGAGGACTTGCAAACTCCATTTTGTCGATTTACAATTACAAGAAAATCTTCCTCCCGGAACATTGCTATATCTCACATATATTCACAGAATATTGTGCATCATTTTATTAGTCACGCTGCATTTATTTTATAATTACCAACAATGTGTGTAATAGTAGTCCATATAAGTCATATTCCTACAAATAATATTTACAAACTTAAACATTCCATTTAAAGCACATAAAAACGCATCCTATTTTAACCAAACAAGTAGTGCGATACAAATCGGTTAAATATATCTACTACAAATAAGGATTTAACCAATTTATGATATGTTTACGTACGTAGGTAGGTATACTCTGAGTTGAAACAATAAGTACAAAGAACTTTGAGCACGCATCAATTGAAAACAATTATTGGAAGAGCGTCAATTTTCTCCACATGATTCAATCATGATGCTGAATCATTGTGTACCGTTTACGTACAAATTGTCCTGACGGTTTAATTACCTTAATAACAGCCATCAATGCGACAAAGCCTTACGTGGTGATGGTTCAATTGACCTTAGAACCCATGCACGGGAAAATATCGTGAGTATCAAGCCGAGCGTCATCTTGTACCAATACCACAGTCATTTAACTTTTATACTTTGCCATTATCTTCCTTCATTGCAAACTTTACTTAAATGTAATTAATCGAAATGCGGGTGGCAACAAATAACATAAACTATATGAAGATTGCCGATCTGGTCCTATTGTTCATTAATACTAATGCACTCATGTTTAAAAACGCGGATTATCGAGATAAGATAAAATAATTTAACAGAAACCGGAACATGATTTGATCAAACAATGTAGTGTCTAGACCAGTAGGCAATAATTACAAATGATTTGTAAACAGTTACATTGTAATAAAATATGAAGCGAAATTCATTTGAAATTTCATTTTAATTTGATTGTTTTGCTCTTAAATGTGAGTTTATTTAATCATAAAGCATAGCTAAACAATGGTTTGATAAGGAATGTGATAATATATGAATAACTAATTTAATTTAAACAACGCGTGGTGAAAATGTGGAGAAAATCCGAAAATGTGATGAGAAAAGCAATTGTTGCAGGAATTACGCCGTAAAATACGCAAAATTTCGGTAAAATCTTGATCAGTGTCAATGTCAGATTTTAGTAGGTATAAGGAACCAATGTTTCTAGCTTCTGGCTTGGCATTGTAACAAGTAACATTATTGTCGATGACTCACCAGTGATGTAGAGCGGCTCGATGCGATATATTCTTGATATTTAAATTCACAACACACTTGGTTTACATGGCGGGTGTATGTTCCTAGAGTCGAAGCACTAAGCCTGTACAAGTGCACACAGTGAATGAACTAAACATCGCTTGCGAGTTGCGACAATCAGCTGTTGGCTTCCACGGCGAGGAGTACACTTATGCAGGAATGGATCAGTTCGCGGCGCGTATAAAGCCGATGTTTCTATTTGCAACGTGTGGGACTTTGAAACGTACGTGCGTTCGGTGCGATTGCACCGAACTCGTCCGCAGTGCACGTAAGGACGAAATTGAAACAACCTGCCACGAAAAATTACAGTCACACTTGCCTAACGCAGGCTCGGTGCAGCTCTGGGCCGTCTCATGATGATCGATTTTCTTTTGACATGGACCGCGCGCTTGCACAAAGATTCAATTCGTACCGTGCGCACTGTACCCACACCTTGTATGCGCGTAATTACAGCCGCGAATGCGCGTCGAATCAAAATTTTATATTTTGACAAACACAATACTCGTTAAACCACTTGGTTAATTACAGCAAAACTGGTATCGTGTACACGTTTGAGATTTTTTTATTTACCTACGTTTATTTTACATTTACGTATGCTACACACATATAATTCCTTAATTGGTTGTTATTGCTAAAAATGTACACTTAAACGAGCAGAAACTCAATTTTTATATATAATTCTGTGTGGAAATGTACTAATTCTAAGGAGTTAAAAAGTGAAATCAGATTTATGTATTGTATGTATTTGTACCGCAATTTATTTCGTTGAAACTTTTTCCTCGTCTTCTTCAATCCGTTTCCAGTAACGTTTCTTAGCGTAATACCCACCGGCAGCAGCTCCACAAACCAATAATATAATAATGAATATTATTAGTGATATTGTTGTAGCACTTCCGGATGCTGCGTGAATTGCAACTTTATCGGACGCACTTTGATAATCGCTGTGACTTATTGCAAACACTTGAAAATGATATTCGTATCCATCTTCCAAATTCATCACTGTAATTTTAAAAAGCAAAACATTCAACTTGTTTATTTGGTGGTCTAACTTGTGTTGCGTTTTTTATTTTTATCACAACACAATGATCATGGCTATTATGTTGCGCAACCTTGAATTGTAGTCACGCTATGCAAATTTTTATTAATGGAAATTAAATTATACTGTTTTACGATTACATGCGTACCTAAAAATGATGTATTTGTCGTTTCACCGGATCCATGCAAATATTCTTCGGGACCTTTGAACCATTGTACAACATACGATCTTAATTCGTCGACGCCATATTCGGGCGGGTCCCAAGTGACTAAGAAACCATTACTGGTTTCATGCACACGTACATCTCGTGGACTTCCTATGCTTGCGAACGTGTTCATTCCCACTGGGCCTGGATCGCTTGTGGATCCTTTCGTCCACACGCGGATTGTTTTACTGAATAATCCATCACCTTCTTCGTCTTTGCTTAGTACCATAAATTCGTATTCGGTACCTGAAATATAAAATCTTTAGATATATTTTATCATCGGGATTAGAAAAGTTTTAGACCTGAAGTTAAACTGCCTATGGTGGCTTCCAAAACCAATTTGCCTGGAATTTTCAACGTCCGCCATTCACTAGTGTGAACAGGTCGATACCATACGTTATATTCGAGGTTAGGACGTTTCCGCCCTGCTACCCATTTGAGGTTAACAGAGTTAGATGTCGCCTCTGCTGTTAAATTATACGGTGCTCGTGGAGGCACATTTTCCACAATTACTTCTGTATCCGTACTAATTGTGGCTGCTTCATTCGTTGCGGTGCATCGATAAACCCCACGATCATCTTCTTGAATATTGGTGATTGTCAAATTCCCGTCCCGAACTGAAAATCTGCCAACTGGCAAAGACGACCCATCTTTCTATATACACATCATATTAGTGGCTCATTGTTGAGGTTATGTAAAGCAAATCATTACCTTGTACCAGTGTACAAACGGTCTGTGATCAGTGTCACTGTCACGAGCATCGCAAGGCATCTCCAATGATTCTCCCAATTTAGTCAGATACATATTATTCGGAGCGATTACAAATACAGGCGGGCGTTGTACAATGACATGAACACTTGGCGAAGCGCCATCTGTACCCAAATCGTTGTATGGTGTGCATGTGTAGTGACCATTGTGAGATTCATCTACTTTGTTGAAGTACAAGCTCCCATTGCGTCTGTAAAACACACCTTGAACATTGTAGGGATCAAAAAGGAAGCCATCTTTCTCCCATCGTAAATTTGTTAATGGTGGATTTGCTCGGAAGTGACAATCCAACACGGCTGAACGACCATAAGGCAAATGAACTTCTCGCGGTGCATATATTACTTTGGCTTTATCTATACTCCATATAAAAATAAATTAAATTAATACCCAGCGGAAATTAACGCAGTTTTAAAGTTTCTTACATTGAACATTTAAGTTTGCTTTGGCAGTTTGTTTTCTCCATCGGAGCGCACAGCTTCGCATTGATACTCGCCGCTGTCGCCCATCTCAGCAGGTCGGATTGTCAAAGATCCCTCCTCGCTAACCCAGGAACGTTGCAAGATGTCTGGAATGCTTGACAGCGGCAACCCATCCTTGTACCAAGTAACAACAGTATCTTTGTATTTTGTAACACATGAAAAATGTGCTTCTTCGTTTTCCAATGTGGTCTGATTGATCGGCGGAATTGCCAATAGGTTTCCTCCTCAAACAAAAGAAATCTTAGCTTTTCGACGGCACTATATTGAAAATATGGGTCATACCATTTACAGTTAAGTAAAACCAAGTGCCATTGTTACGGGAATTGGGCATACGATTAGGAAACAATACTTTGCATTCAAACCATCCACTGTCTGACTCTCGAACGGATGTTAAATTGATGGAGGCACCACCAAATCGTGTTGTGTGCGTCTCATCCAATAAATGCATGCGACCAACATACGGATCAGCAGCGGTTAGTTTTCCATCATACCACGAAAATACTGTTTTGCCCTAAATTATTATTTTGAATAAAATAAAGTTAATAAAAATAAAAATAAATTATTTACGTCTTTATTCCAATTTAAAATGAACGGAATTGGAATGCTTTGTGGAAAATCCAAATCACAGTTCATTATCGTATAATCCCCAACGGCGGCAGTCAAATATGTCGGATGCTTCTCATCGTCTTCGTAGACGTAGGAGCTGGCACAAGCAAACATGCCGATGCATAGCAGACACGATGCATATGTAGTCATAACTTGATTTATTTATTGCGAGAAATGAATGTTTAACAAAATGCACACAAGATGAACTTAGCCCGGTCACTTAAAGGATGTTTGTCCTAGCATCGCACCCGTCGATTAAACACTCGCCTGCCCGCACTTCAAACGCCACAGGAGCGCGCAAGTCGATGGCAAATAATGCGAAGAAACAACCTCAAACCGTTAGACAAATCAGACAAAATAGAGGGAGTATAAATGCAAAGAATTAGATTAATTTAAGGTCGCATTACACATTTAGTCCACTTAACCGAGCCATGCAGTGAGTAGTTGTTGCGCCCGATAACCCGTGCGTTAGTCCGACAATTTAGATTCCGCATCAGCAGGCGCTATCATCGCAATGCCCAAAAAGACTAAACTCTCCTCGGGTGCCAAACTATCTTGCTAGTAATTATACTCGAAACTAGTTGTTGAGACTTTCAGGGATTGGGCAAAGAAGCGTCGAATATTAAGGTTAATGCAATTTACACTCGCGCGCTTCTACAGATTAACGAAATTACGTAATCGCGCTTGAAAATATATATCTACGCTTGCATCAATCTTGGTACGCACGAAATCTCGATATTTCGAAGCTTAAAGCAATGTTTGCGATTGTGGTAATGGCGAGCGAATACGCAGCGACGCGAGGCCGCTCTGGATCGAGCGGAAAAGTCAAATAAAACGCAATTCCAATTATGCAATTGTTGAAACCCACCTACGGAAGAATCTAGAAAGCCCACAAACCATTACAGAGAGCAATAAATAACAAGTAGTATTTTACATTACCAGACAACCGACGATATACTCGTAGTACCACTGCGCACAACTAAAATTTTGACAATTTCAAAAACTCTGCAACAAACAACAACAAACTGCATATTATTATCGTCAAGCAGGATCACCTTTCAATTTCACACCGGCAGGCACAACGCATATTATGTTCAATGTCATATTAAAACAAGTGCATTGAGTATGAATAATAATTTTATCGGTGTGAGAGGAAAAACTCATAATTTTATTTAATTAGCTGGAAGATTCGATTTCATTGCAGCATTTTTATACGATTAATCCATGTTGATGTTAAGTACGTACATACAGACCAAACAACAAGCAACTTGAATCATAATCCGAGTTAGAGTAGGTGGACACTTCTCGGTTTGTCATTTGTAATAATTGATTATGATGTTACTTTCGCTACTCAACACTTACAACTAAAAATAGTCTTGCACTTTCATGTTTCATTTTTTTATAGTTTATTTGCTACAATATAATATAATAATTCTAAATTCGCATAAATGTGTGTGCTCTGAAATAATATAATTTATTTAGTTTCGAATAATGTATATTTATATTCTTAACTATATATTATAAATTTTCAATTGAATCAAATGTGCTGTAGTTTGTCACCATCATACATAAGTACATTACTTCTGCAAATCAACCAATATCGGGTGGATTCGTTTATGCACCTCCTCGTATCTTCAAGGTATCTTTAATTGCAATATATATTGTACAATCATATTAATATTAATAATTAATATGAATAATTATCTATGATCGTAGAGTATTCATTTATATAATTTAATATCTTATTTTTTTCGTGAGGAAGGTGATAATTATGTATTTGTTATTTTCATTAAGTATTTACTTCCTTCTGGTTTTCGAAAGTACATTAGAAATGTTTTTGTTTTTTTTTTATCTAGATTTATGCTTATGCTTATGATTTTTGGAGAAAATAACAGATGCCTGAATTATTAATAAAGACATACAAGATTTCACGTGTGATTACTTCCCTTTCGTCAGTTATCATGTATGTGGGAGTGCGTGTGTTATATTGAACGGGTTTATTCAGTAAGAATTATTTATAATAAAAAGTCAACACATTTCCCATCGCTTTGCATTACATAAACTAATTTGTACGAGACGTAAAAATAAATTAAGTCAGACTTGAACACAAATAAAAATCAAAGCAATTTTTGATGTAAACATAGTTTTTGGATATAATTATTTCACTAACCAGTTATTCGTAATCAACAATCGTAATCAATTTCTCACCTCCACAGCATCCAATAAATATGCGTTAAATTTAACGTTAAACAAGGCAAGACAAGATGGCTCCTCAGAAATCTGATTCATTTACTTCTCTTTATATATTATAAAAAAATCTTAGAATTTCATTTCATCGTAATATATAAGTATAATTACAATTTTATGTCATTATATATCATCATATATCATATTAGATTTGTTTCCAAGTCTCCCGCTTCGAACAAAGCAACCAAATGATTAAAATCCTCAAATCATTTCGAAACTTATATCAGATAAATGGTACATGCATCTGATAACAGTTACCTTTATTCGATCCTAGCACCCAATTCCACATGTATAACCCATTTCACACGTATAACTTAAATCTAATTGTACTAAAAGAAAATATCACTTATTGTTTGTTTTATTCAATCCAGCATTAGTATCAGATCGAAGAAAACAAAACGTTTACGCATTATATTCGTGTTTTTTCAAAAACTTATCATTGGATCCTTTCGATAAGGAGTTCACCATTGGGCATAAATTAATTTATACGAATTTGTATATACACTATTAGACAATGTGCTGACCAATCTCATTCTGACCGTTTAGTTACATTCATTACCTCCATGTTTTTTTTTGTTGTTTTGAGATGTTATAGAATGCTTGACACGTTTACTTGCGCTGTTACCAATTAGTTCCTCCTTTTCTCAAATAGTTTATTATTTTAGTTTTGTATTTTTACTTAGTCTTCAAAAAGTGGACACTCAAAAAGGAGGCCTATGAGTGTGTATTCGTGTATTCGTGGAGTGTTTTGTACCGTTGAGCACAGAAGGTACATTCAAAAAATGACATCGTTTTGTTGTATCCATTTCACTTAGAGTTACAATCCCTAACTAAACATCTATTTTATAAGTTATTTACGCAACAGCCTGGTGAGTTGGTCGCGACTTAAACTGGCCGCGCGCTAAAGCGTTAGAATTTATTATATTTTGTATTGTATTTTGTGTATCTTAATATGCATCTCGATAATTCCGATGGGCATAAACGTGTGTACGCATTGTAATTTCGGCCTGCCAATGGCGTAGATATTCGTGCAGTGAAAATCGGGCAGATTTACTATTCACGGCTCGATCGGCCAATTCGCGAGCGAAATTGATGCGCAGTGTGCTGATGCCAGCCGACACAACCCGGAAAGAAATAACCATTGCTCGTGTTGTTCATGTTCACTCCATTGTAATATATTGACTCTTGAAATTATGAAGATAAAGGTGTAAAGGCACCGTTCAATATATTTTCAACTTAACTAGGTCCTAGTAGAAAATATTGCTTGGAAATTTTTAGATTTTTTGTGTTTTTTATATGTAAAATGGGATTCGCATTGCCGTCGTTTCAGAATGTTATGTATTCGAAGTCGTTTCCGTCCTTTCGGTGTGGTTAGATTTTTCTCAATGAAATTGTGTCAGCTGCTTCAACGTGTTGCGCATGTAGATCGATTTATAAAATTTTTGTTTTATTAAAATGTATGATCAGTTCTCAATATTACAACAATTGTTTGAGCCGTTTTAAGTAAGTTTTATTCACTTACGTAATGTTTGTATGTATTAACTTATTTTATACGTTACTCTTTTATCTCTATAGTAGAAACAAATTAAGTGGCATGTATAATATAAGAATTATTAACCGAGCAGCCCGTTCGTATAATAATTACCAAATCTATTTTCTTGTCATAATTTTATTTGGTTGAAGTCTTGATTATTTAGTAATTCTTTGTGTAATTATTTTTGATAATTTAGAACATGTCAATCACACTAAGAACAGTTTGCGCACAAAGTTCATAATTTGTGAATTAGGGGGCCACATTATTGTATCTAGCACGCGCTCTCCAATTCGTGGCTGATGCGTCGCTTGGCCTGCCGTTTACGAAACTCATTAAATTCCTCCTTCATGGCCTGAACGCGAGCGTCGATGTTGTCATAGCGCATACTGCGCGGCGTGCCATACGACTTACGGAACGTCGGTGCTTCCAAATCCATCTCTCTTGGTCCTGTCGGCGTGCTCGGCGTGGGCGTCGGGGTTGAAGGATCAAATTCGTAGTGTCCATCCACGCTGCCCACGTCGACTGCCTTCAGATGTTCGGATGTCGATGGTGACGTTGACATCAATTCCAGCCAGTGCCCGACTAACGGTGGCGGCGGAGGTAGGGTGCACGGCGGTGGTGGCGGAGGTCGGTATGGCGGCAGCCGCCAGTCGGTAAACGTGCTGCCGCTCTGTGAGCTCTGGTTTTGCTGTGATGTATTCTTGCTGCCAAAGCCGCTGCTGCTGGAGCGACTCTCGGGAGAGCGATCCAGGTTGTCAGGCGATCCCAGCTCGGGAGCGCTGCGAGCAATTCGCGCATGCCTTGGCAGCAAGCGGGCGCGCGATCGCGAATACGCGGTGGGCATACGGATGCGGGGGCTGTCGCGAATCGGGTGCACCGGTATGAAGCCTTGCGATTCCTCGTGGATGGCTCGCAGACTGGGCAACTCCTGCGAGTATCTTTCATGCACTGAGCGCAACTGCACGAAACCCGGGGGAGTGGGATAGGAGCGTTCCGCACTGCTCGGGTGGCGCACAGAACTGAGATCACTGAAATACATTGGCGTCCATGGTGAGAGCAACAGAGCGCTGGAGGCGGCGGGCGAACTGGATTGAATCTGCTGCGGGTGGTAGATTGTCGGTATTGGCTTCATTGGATAGTGCGGATGATTGCCAGCAATGAACCGCGCTAAGACTCTAGCACTCTCACCCGATGCATCCGATCTCAAGCTCAGCTCGCTCGGATATCCGATGAGGGGCTTCCGCCAGGAGGCTCTGTTTAGTAGCGTGGACCGTCGTGACAGGAATCCGCCATCGTCACTGCTGGATAAATTCGAAATACTGTCGGCTCGCAGTGACGCATCCCCCAGGACAAACCGGCCGTCGGCTGTTCGCGATATTCGAGCCAATGACTTGGATGGTGCTTGCAAATATTCCGAGTGCCAACTGATACTACTACCCGAGCGGCAGCGGTCTCTTGGCCATACCCAGTTAAACACGAAGTGCATCGCCCTTACACCTGGTATTCGGCCTTTTCTAAGTCTAAACCCAGAAAACATGAATTAGAAATAAATAAATCGGTGCAGTTAAATCAAATGCAAACAAACAACTCATTCCAAACTTGAACACATGTAAAACTAAAACAAAACACACTGTTGGAAGTTACTTCAACCAAATCAAAATTCAGTTTATCTAGAATGGTAACCATGCAAAAACGAAGAGCGGAATACATGATGTAGAAATATGAGAAATGGGCCCAGGTACTTTTCACGCATTTGTTTAGATTTTTTGGTTTCTAGATAGACTTGATCACTGTACTGTTGCGTTCAAAGTATGCGTGGGGCGTGTATGGGTCATAAAAAATATGTAAGAAGCGTGCGAAAGTAATTTTATACTTTTGGACAAACACATGTGCTAGTGCGAACGGATGTGGTCTCAGCGAATCCCTTCACCTTTTTTCCTCCTGTTCCACGCGAGCGGGCGGGCATTAACACATTGTTGGGATCAGAGACTGACAAAGAAGAGTATTACAATCATGATAAACAAATTATTTATTGTTGTGTATTGTGTGTATGAATTATTGATAAAATTGGTATGTAATTTTCTAGTTGGGGGAGGCATACGATATAAAATAAAACAATCACGCCATTTTGCCGTCTATAAAATTAAAAGAACATGGAGTTAATACAGAATACATGCCTTGCTAGAAAACTCATCACCAGTTTCATCAACCTTCGCAAAAGATATACTAGATAGTTGGTTGAAGATAGCACGTGCCAAATTCGAATTTACTAAATACGTTTCGAATGCAGTCTAGCCGTCAATTAGATCGTAAATTATATCAATTACCAAACATAGAAACAGAACGACCCTAAAGATCGCCATTCCAGGAACAAATGAAGCACACTTAATATAAAATTGAAGCGTATTGTGAACACCAATGAAGCAGTAATCACCAACAATCAAAAATCATTCATGTTCATAATACGCTCTCGGTAACTAGAACAAGAATCTATAATAACAGATTCCACCGTCAAATGCGACCTTAAAAAGTGGTAAAAAGCCGTTCAAAAAAGTCAAATGTGCATGTTCAAGGCATTCACAAGGGCTGAATGTACTAAAAAAAATGGGTGGAGTCTTTGAAAAATGCTTAGAAACGCAAACGTTTGATTTAAGACAAAAGACTCTCACTTTTTACGTGGATAATATGGCTTTCGCAATGATTTTTATTTTTGGTTGCTGTTGTGAAATATCGCGTCGCGCTTTTCTTTACTATTTCTCACTGACGTACGGTGCTTTGAAAATAAAGTGGTAGTTATGTTTATAATTTGGTCGCACTGTCTAGCGGATCCGCGTTCAACTGACGCTTACGGTTTGTGTCAACGCTTGTCCCAGGTATAATAAATACGCTCTCGTAATCTCGATAGGACTCTGACTCAACCGTCCTATAAGATAATAACACATTTTCACTTGTTTCGTTCGACAACAATAGCAGCAATTTTCGGTCCATAATAAGTATGCATTAGCATACATTTGTAAATGTTTGTTTTCTGGGCAATTGTTCAGTATTCTAGGGAAATATGTAGCAAATTGTGTTTGTAGTAGTATCTTTTAAAGTAGTGTCCGTAATGTTCCGTGGGACACGATTAACATATGCACTTACTTTTTCAAAGGCACTTGACTTTCCGTTGTACCACCGCCATTTCTGGAATCCGTTATACGGCATGCTACCATGTTGTAAGCTGCAACAGGAAACAAAAACTTATTGAAGTTTTCAGCGCAGGCTAATTTTGTGTATATAATTTGGGGAGTAGGTATAAGTTTGAATATTTTACCTTTTTCTTGTTTCCGCCGTTTGCGTTTGTTGCATATTTTGACGGCGCAAACTGATAATATTATAGCTACGATAAAAAAAAGAATGCCACCGACAACGCCGGCTGTTATGGCTTTGTGCTTAACACGGGCAGGCACCGGGAACTTGACCTCTTCGCTGCTCTCGTAGCTTTTCAACGAGTTCGCCAAAATTCTGAAGTAGTAAGTTCGACCGCCAACCAAATTCTTAACTGCAAGCCAAATGAAACATTTAGATTACTGGATTATGATTATACACATTAAAACTTACCCAAATAATTCGTATCTACTGGTCGGATTGAATTCTTATTTAAATTCTTCCAAGGCCCGTCCGTGCGATACTTAATTGTATAGTACTGTATGAGATTGGCTCGTTCAATGGGCGCTTGCCAACTGATCATAAAGCCATTTGCAATTTCGGTCACTGTTAAATTTCTAGGTATGCCAGGTTTAGGTCCTGTAAATGTTACATAATGTATATTCCTGTATCCCCGCGTTCACCCATTGAAAAAAGTAAGAGTTAAAACACAAAAGCAATGGCGTCCCAAGAGTTAGCGAAAGCGTCATTCAGCACAGAATGAACGTACAAGGAAAAGCAAAACTTAAAGCGGTCTCTCATAACTACCTTTCGGCTTCAAAACTGGAGGAACATAAACGGCACCAGTCGAATCCGTCGGTAAAATAACAATACTATAATCTAAAACATCTGGAAATAAAATACGATAAACAAAAATAAAAACTTAAAGTAATAGTAAATCAAACAATAATGGTCATTCTGTACTGAATTATGTGCTTTGAATACGTTTCTAGCGCCAGATTTCTCTTGTACTTGCTTAGGAAATTGAAAACCAAAGAATAATTTCAACATGCGCGCCAGAAATCGAGCTTACCGGAGTCGCTAGCGGCCGGCATGAAGGGAGTCGGTGTAACTTGCACTTTATAAGGTAATCCCACTTCTTATCCAAGAGTTAGCATTTTATGAAAGGCAAGTTCAGTACAGTTAGCAAAAACAATGTGTCTGCAGTGTGTCATGTAGATATTCGTATAATATTTAAGGAGTATAATATAGATTGACCACTAGAAAACTAATCGCTTACCCAATGTTCGAACGGTGATTATCTGACTCATCATACCATCACCTAAAGCGTTCTTGCCAACCACCTGGAACTCGTACGTTGTGCCTGGCGCTAATCGATTGATAGTAACCTGAGTGCTTCCCGAGGGTGTCACGGGTATTGTCGACCATTCGGTGACCCCAGCTTCTCGATACCATATCGTGTAATCCTGCTTATAATCCGGCCCACCACTATATCCAGGTAGCCATCCTAGTGTTACAGCAAATTCTGACGCAGTACCAGTTAAATTATACGGCGCATGTGGCTGAGTGCCTTCCACCACCAATTGTGTAGTAGCCACGATGGTTGCAACTTCGTTGGACGCGACGCACTGATAAAACCCAAAATCGGAACGCCGCAGCGATTCGACAGTTATGTTACCGCCGGTGGTACGAACACGATTTTTCTGTAACGGTGTACCATCACGACGCTGCCACTCGATGTTAGGTTTCTGCGTGCCTTCGGCCTCCTGTGCATCACAATGCATCTCGACTGTCTCGCCAACTTTGCGTTGATACATATTCTCGGGTTCGATGGTAAACACGGGTGGTTTGCGTACCAGTACCTCCATGGGACCCGACGACCCTTGCGTACCCTGAGCATTATACGGTGTACACGTGTACCTGCCTTGATGGTTTTGATTTACTCGCGTAAACAACAAGGAGCCATTATTCATAATGACGATGTCCTTCGTTTGATAGGGTTCCAATAGTCGCTTGTCTTTGGTCCACGTAACGTATTGTAGGGGAGGATTGGCTTTGATATAGCATTGCACTACACCTGCTAAACGGAAAGGCAAGTATTGAATGGTCGGCGTGAATGTAACTTTCGCCGGATCTGAAAAAACAGATATACCATATTATTTAAACAGGTCTAAAGTGGAATTTGAGGGTTTGTTATTACATTCCACGTTCAGGTAGGCAGAGGCCGATTGCGGCTCGCCAATTCCGTTGCTGACTTCGCATAGATATTGCCCGCTATCGTCGGCGCTGACAGGATTCACGACTAGAGAGCCGTCACGCCGAATAGTAACACGCGTTTCTAATGAAGCAACTTCTTTAACAGGGGCGCCCTCACGATACCACTTGACGGTGACGTTTCCGGGCAGAGCCTTGGCTTCGCAGTTAAATTGCACCTTCTCCCCTTCGAGCTTCGTCTGATTAGTCGGCGGTACCATGATAACCGCTCCGCCGGCAATAATGACACGAGCCGTGTGTGAGATCTGACCTTCACCATTCCGCGCGATGCATGTGTAGTCGCCAATATCCTCATGATGAATGTTGGATATTCGCAACTCAGTACCATCATTAAAAATTCCTAGATTCAAATAAAAGTTACACTTTGAAGAGATATAAGCAATTGTTGATGTTTACCTATGCTACCAGAAGGTTCTACAGGATTAGCATCTTTATACCACAATATCTCGGGCGTTGGAGTTCCTTCCGCCTGACAATTGAGTATTATGGCGTCCCCCAAATTAACATAGATTACATCTTCCGGCGTGACTATAAAGCGCGGCGGCGCATGTACGTCCAAGTGGAACCAGGTTCCGTTCTTCTTATTGCCATTTGGGGATCGGTTGAGGAACACCACCTTACATTCGTACCTAAGTCACAATGCAAGATAAATTTAAATGGTTCATATTCCAGAGCTAAACAAGTGGTAAGTGTAATTACCATCCCTGATCCGATTCTCGTATGTCGGTCAGGTTGAGCGATGCCGCACCGTATGGCGAGTCAGCTGGAACTCTGGACACACGACCTTCATAACCTGGACCGCTGTGTGTGGGATAACTTTCATACCATATGTAGATTGGGATGTCCTGGCCCTAAATAATACATAAACTTATAAACAAATGTTGCCAGCAGCGGGATCCATTCAGGAAAAATTCCTTTAGGACTACCAACATCAAAAACAACACCAGCAATCCCTTAGTTCTACAAAAATATACACACTGTGCGGCATGCTTCCAATGCAGTGGATAAAATAATTAAAGAAAGCAGTGAGTAAACACTTCACAATTGGTTCAAACTGGACAGCGATTAAATCAAAAGCATAATTCTAGTAAGAAAGGAGATAGAGAGAGGCAATTTGCCGTGCGATATCTAGCATATAGCTCTGTGTGATTTATTGTGTACTTATTGTTTTTCAATTCGTTAAAGCTTAAGCTCTCTCTAGTCTCCTGATTGGTGGGCAATCACATAACTTCAAAAAGGACCAAAACGCAACGGAAATTTCACTTCAACTCGTTCTACGTCTTCAATTCAAGACCGCCGTGGTTGTTTGCACGAGGTACTTGCGAGTTAAATATGATAACGTAATTCTACATAAACTCAGAAAAATATCCCTGTATGCAAGGATATTTTAAAGAGTTTGCGAATTTACCACAATATTTCAACAATCTGGCCATCACCAATAAGAAGAATAAAATACAATAAAGGGTACTTAGGTCGTAAGTACGCTTAGTAGTGGTGCTGAGAGGAGTTGTGATATCGTACCGTTTCGCCTACCTTCTTCTCCCATTGTAACACATAGGGCACTGGGTGTCCTTCTGGAAACTCCACGTGGCAGTTGAACACCACGGACTCACCCAATATTGCTGTAATGTGCACAGCATCTTGGAAACACAAACCTGACGAAGGTGAAAAACGTGTTAATTAGACATATTTCAATTGATTATCAATGGTAGGACATACCTTCAAGCGCTTGAGAAGCGAGGAAGGCAAAAATCAGCAGTGTTACTGCAGTGCCTGTCAGTGGACGAGACTTGACCCCTGGGTCAGTACACATACCCATTCCGTCGGTCCCATACCTCTAGCTAGCGCATCTTCATGGCGGGTCCTGCTATAAATAAACAAAAACTCTATTATTACAACAGAAAGGGTGGTATTCAAGTAGGGTGTGTTTTCTGTATATTCTTGGAACAATTCGGGAATGCGCCTTAATACTGCATGAATAATGCAACGGTAGTTACCTAATGCTGAGGTAATTTCGTAGTAATTGCCTACAATACATGCATTCAACCATCTTCAAACTTCGTATACATACACACCTTATACAACGATAGCTTTCAGGTTGATTTAGACAGTTATTCAATATCCCTCCTAAAATGCCGTTGTGTAGTTGTGATATTTTAGTTCCTAATATGATACGATGAGAGAAATGTGCACGTAGACTCTACACTTGGTATCGTAAAAAAGGGAAATCGATGATAACTGAAATCATGCTACGCTGGCTTTCGTTGTACACTCACGGCAAATTTAATAAGTAAGCTGGACTAAGTCACGATATTTAACGCACTACCAAACACAACACTGTGAATATGTCGGCGGGAATTTAGTAATTATTAGTAATTCATATTAAAAATGCGGAACAATGTAACAACGATAAAAACACGGGGTACACGAGGGAGAAGCAAAGCGATCGCACAGGCACAGCGTCAGAATCGTCGTGCGGGCCGGGTTAGTTTCTGCACAACCGCGTTCTGTTCGCAGCTGCGCGCGCGATTCCTCCATGTCAGGAGTACACCATGCCCGCACCCCGCGCATTCGCGCTAGCGGCGCGCACAACAACCCAACGCTGCAGCCGCCCGCCGCCTCCACCAACCCGCCCCGGTTTCCATTCGACATATTGATCGACCGACCGGCCGACCGACCGCCCCAGCTCGCGGACAGCATTTCAGGCGGAACACTCAAAACGTTACAACTACATTATTATCATCAATCGTTGCGGACCAGACACCAATGTCTTCTTATGAAGAAAATTTCCACCACCCAACAAAAAAATACCAATACATTCATCTCTATCCCCAATTATTAATTACTATTGTATATGAAAATTTATGAACGTAATTATTTGCTTATTGTTCGTATTTCGACTAGTTGCTGAACGCGATCGATTTCAACGCTTGCTGACGTCATGGGTGGGTCCAGATGACGTCAGAGCGCGCGGAAAACCTACCCCACTCCAGACCAAGAGAATCCTGGCTGCGCTCTGCTCTGGCTCTGTGTTTGCAGGTGGCAAAAGTGGTCAAACGCAAAGGACGATGCACTTAATGCTTTAACCCGCAATATGCTGCTGTGTACGTGGTTTCATAGCACTGACACACCAACCCCCAACTGTAAAATCTATTTCTGTATTTGCACTCGCGGCAAAGGTTAAATCCGGGAGAAAGGGAGAGGACGACAGATCCGGACGGTGTATAACACCAACTTTTTTGCCTGCTAGCGCAACAAACACGAGTTATTGCCACCCGGGAAATCAAGCGGTTTGGCATTGTCACAACGTCAGGTATACCTACATATGCATCAGAATAGATTAATGAAATATGTGTATGATACTTCAACATTTTCACATCAGAGTCAAGTCAAAAGTCAATATTTCCAGCTAAAAATAAACTTTTATATATAATAACGTTATATTCTTTGATGGGTAATTACAATTGCAAGTTTTATGTTTTTGGATTTCCACATTTCACATACGTGAAATGCCGCGCCCAAAAAATCTCTAGCAGTATGTCTTCGAGACATTAAAAAGTAACAGAGGTAACAGAAGGACTTGACTAGTTTTCCCACTGGCAGCTTGGGTGCTTATAGTTCTAATGCGGGATTATTTATACTACATAGTGAAGGGGAACAGCGCCTGGACACGACCTCATGGATGAGTGCAAGCCGGCGGGAGTTGGCGGTGCTAGGGGCTTCACCACCGGTGCTGGAGCTCTCTTGAGCCCGAGCAAGCGTATACGCGCCGCGCCGATCGATATGTAGAGGGCGACGTGACCTAGCAAGAGCCGCGCCCCGGAGTCCGTCAATCCAGACTGAAATTATTTTTTAGCGCTTTTTATTATATACTCCATCTGTCAATTACAAGTGGATGCATCGGTGAATTAATGTCTATAAGATCCATGACAACTTTCAAAACTATGAGTTAGATAAGTTAAAAGCTAATTTGATAATAAGTTATAGCGGAAAATATCATGTTTAAAACTTATTCATTTCGTCATATTAACGTCCATGTCACTATTAATGTAATGTCAAGTCAATTTGATTAAATTTCTTGGAAGAAATTTCATTTTGAGGAGAAAAACACAGAAAAACAACCTCAATCTATCAATCCCAGAAATTACTTATTAAAAATGAGGTTATTAATGTATAATCCGCAAAAACATGCTTTCAACTGAAGAAAAACAAACACAAATACATTTTTAATTTATCTATTTATCTTTTATCTATTTATATAAAAATGAATTGCTGTTCGTTAGTCTCGCTAAAACTCGAGAACGGCTGAACGGATTTATCTTATCTTGGTCTTGAATTATTCGTGGAGGTCTAGGGAAGGTTTAAAAGGTGAGAAAAATTCGAATAATTGCCGGGAAAATCCTCAAAACAACTGTTTTCTATAGAATAAAATTTGACATTGAAATTCAATCATAGTTATAGTTAAATAGTTGAATTCGAGATGGCGCGCTGAAGTGCATTATTGACAAAAGTTTATATGCATAATTTCTTTAAATTAAAATTGCTAATCTTATTGATAGAATTGACTCTTACTACAAGTATGTTTAGAACAAGAGAGTAAAAACGAATTACATTTTTATTAAACACTGCCGGAACAAAGTCGCGGGCAACAGCTAGTAATTTGTATAAAAAAAAATTAAAAATTGATTTTTTACTCAATAACTCATAAATTAAACAGAAAATAACAGATTTTTGAAAGATCACACCCTAAACAACAAAATTTTCATCAAAAGCTTAAATATTAATGAAAATTTTCGCTCCAAAACAATTTATGACACGCTGACAAGAAGCACGTATAAAATATACACCCAAAGCCAAATTGTTGAGAAGATGAAAGCCGACAGACGATCTTGTTACCCCCAAAGACTTTATTACTTTCCAATGCATGATATTATTCATTCATGAGGTGGTAATTAAGCGTTTATATCCTTGCGTGGTTAAACCGAATTCTCAGTGTCGCATGCCAGGAACAATGTTCGATTATAAGCGCGCCGCTCCCAGAACCCCCGGCGCTAACGCACAATCCTGGTACATATATATGAACTTGGTACTCTATGTCTCCCCGGTGGTACATAACTAAGATATTAACAGTGCGCACATCCACATCCACATTGCCCATGAACGTTGCGAATATATATTGCGCACTAATACGTTTAATTATTCACATGCCACGTTGCCAGGACGTACTTCAAACTGTATCTATTACCACGAGCGTACAGAGCTGATACATGTACTCGAAGATGAACGTCCGCACCGTCCACGTATAAATTTCCAACATATTTATCTCGAGTGCTCTTCACTAGATCCATTAATTCAATTCAGCACTAAATTAAAATATCTAATAGGCAATTATCTTCATCGTAGCCAGTATATAGTGTTTTCACTGTTGTATATTGCTGATGGGGCTGACACTCAGTCACTAGGTTGCAATTTCAATCAAAAACTTTGAGGGAATTATCTTTGCTGAGTCGGTTGATGTTTGCATCGTGTTCTACTTCGTTGTTATTAGCAAAATAATAACGTTGCAATAAATTCGACCAACGGAAGAGAAAATAACACTTTTTGATCGAAAATACAACGAAAATGTTTTGAAAATGTCTCGAAATAATAGAGAAAGTAGACTTTTACAAAACCAGCTAATTATCTCCATAGTAAGTGTATGCAAACGCAATTTCTGAATTTCAAGTTTTCAATTCACTTATGGTTTCTTCCACTTACATTAGAAACGTCAATATAATGCAGAAACTAAATATTTGTTCTATAAATTGAAGATTGTGTCAAGAAGTTTACGTCATGCATATCAAAGTTTTTAGTCTATTATGAAGTTAAAACTTCAATTTGAATGATCGATTATTCTATTTATGAAGACATAGACATAGGTTAGAAATTTTAACTCAAATTTCAATTTCAAATATTTTGTATTTTTGATCACGTATTTATGCGTTTCAAAAGTGCGTAAGTATCACCTTTGTAACAAGGACGTATTGCCGCAAGAAGCGTAGGTTTACCATTAAAATTATAATCAAAAATAATAGTTTGTGTGTTACTTAAACTGATTGTAATTAACCCACGCCTAAATTATTTACGAGCTGTTATCATTAGCGTTTTTTATGTCGTGAAAAATATTTCTAAATAAAAGTTTATTAATTTTTTGTGTGAAATTGCAATATTGTATTCTATTTGAATTTGATAGTTGATTAATTGTTCAAGTTCTTGCCCGAATATGATAAATATTAATTCATAATTGGGATTAATGTAAATATTTTATTAAACCAAAATATCAAAAGATGAACCTTGAATTTTATGTAGATCATCATAATAAAATGAAAATATCCCTGACTTATATTTAACCTTAAAAATCTATAAATAAAATCTGCTATGTGGGTTTATGAAAATAGATAATTCAATATACATTATACTGCATATAAGAAGACTACTAAATTGTGTCAATTTTGCTATTTATATAAAGAGACACATTGCATTTTGGCGACTTTAAAAGCACCGCCAGCTCAACACCAGCCAATATTGAGTTTTACGCTATTTTTATACCAAAAATCAATTTATTACAAGTGCACATTAATTTAAAGTCTAAACAATATGATAATATGCATTTATATTTTAATTTATCCATTTTTTTCCGTAAATGTAACAATCTGTGAGTTGCCTGTCTTGCCTTTGATTTAAGGATATCTATATTCATTAGAATATCGAATAAATAAGTACATTCATCTTAACAAAATCTGTTTCACACTTTAACATTTCATTTAAACCAAGAAAACATGTGTTTCTCTAACTTCTCATACATATGTACGCTTAATTTGTTTATTTATACATGCGAACTAACAGATGTGCTGGAAAATGTAAAATCGTTCTGAAATCATTTTCCGTCTAGAAAACATAATTTATTGTGCGCACAGAGCAAAACAGAATGTTTACTGGTCGATAATTTCATTTTTTTAAGTTATTCGTATGCTAATTTAAAAAGATTGAAAGTAGTTGGTATTCACCGGCTGTTTACCGTTTCATAACATCAAAGGAAGTCTTCCTCTGCATGCTACTGCTACTGCAAGCTAATATATTAATATTCTCTAAACTTCGTAGAGCAACAATATAAAACTAATTAGGCGGAGAATATAATTTAATTTTGTTAATGAATAAATATTTTAAACATGATGACAAAGTTTCAATGAGTTCAATTACGCAGGCATTGCACTGCAAAACAATGAAACATTATTTTACAGTTGATTTTATCTAACTTCACAGCCGATTTCGCAAAGAAACATACATGTAATGAAAACCGCAATGTAATTATTATACCAATAAAAATTTTGCGGTAAATTAAGTAAAAACCACTTGAAATATCCCCAAATGATATTATCTTTAAATTTACCGTAGAAACATATATTTTTGGAAGATAAATCGATGGAAAATAAATTTATTTGTACAAAACAATTATTTTTAAAATTAAAATTTATAACCGTGCATTGCGCGCACATGGCTA